AATAAATCAACAGATTGGGATGAAATAAGTGTACGATAGTAAGGTTCCAAAGTACATCAAGCATATAGATATTACATTTTGTTAGGCAATTTATCAGCCGAACCGAAAATGTAATACAGGTATCTGTAATTACTAGCTCATACAACGGTTCTTGAGTGCTGATTCCTAGGATTACATCAAGTCCTAACGATGCTACCATTCCTTTCATATTGCACAGAATTCAGTTTTCATTGAGGATTTCTTATTCCGTGACAATAAATAAAATCCGGGATAAACGTTTGATAGAGTGGGTATATATCTAAAATAATCGGTGTTTCCCATGGACCACTATATGGGCTTTATCAAATGGCACAAGTATTGGAAAAGCTCAAGCTTGCTACTAAATAGAGATAATCGATAAAGAAAAATACACTATAGCTTTCACGTAAAATATTGTGTATATTGAAGTACTTTAAATATTACCGAATAGAATATAGGACTAAATATTGGTGATATATAAATATACGTTTTCGCTGTAGAGCATAATTTCTTTGTGTACTGATATGATATAGTAATGAATTAACTGAATTGACCTGATCTGAAGCAATGTTTGCAACTGCTTCATAAAATTGTAATAGTAAATGAGTAATATTATGATTTCTTTGCACTCGCTATATCAATTTCATTAATGATATATAGCTTGCGTACATTGCTGAACGCTTTCGTATATTCACATTTATATTACTTGCTTCTAATTTCACAATTTTCTGACTAAGATATTTTAATGTTTAAAAGTTTCTTACCTGTATACGAACACAATTAATTATAATTAATCTTTCTATGGTACCATATGTTTATCGGGCTTCCATAGAAACCTAATTCGAGAAATTTGTGCAGATTTGTTCGAGGTACTATAGCTGTCTACCTGTCTATCAAAAATTGAGTTGACCCATACTGTAGGTGTATCACGCCGTTTGTAATGTTTGATTGAAAAATCGCTATACTCTATTAACTTAAAATCGCACTATATTCTGTGGAATTTCCGCGGATTTTGCATGTCTATAATATTAAAATACTCATACCGATTTACGCCGTACTTCTACAGCAGTAAAAAGCGGCTTCAGAACTTCTTACGAATAGTCTCACTTAGTAAGACTACATTTATAATATACTTAGTATAGTTAGTAATTTCAAGTACGATAGTGCAAATTTGATCGGATGTAAGGTGGAAAGCTAATGAATTTAAACTACGCCATATGATACATATTTATAACTATAAGAATTACTGTAAGATATAGTGCTTTCTGGTATGTTGGAAATATGCTGACTATACTGCTAAAGATAACCATAATAAAGAAAGTAATTTATGTTGCAGATATTAAAATTTCATCAACTAATCGACCGGAATTATGCTATGAATTTCCACGTCAAAAAATTATACTTTATCGAATATTGTAAGCCTGATTATAACTATTAGAAAAACTTTTAGTTCCTGCTCTACAAAATCAATCAATTTAAATTATTGTAATATTATATCGCGTAGAAGTCGTCTATTAATTAATTATTTAAGCAATGATGATTCGAGAATAGATTACTGCCCTATCTTACATCTCTTCTTCCTGGAAACTTTTCGTCTCAAAGAAAGTATTTTATGCACTGATCTTTTGGCATTTGAGAACTCTGTTCCTTCTTAAATGCGAGTACTAAAAAATAAGGGTAAACTATAAATTAAATTAAAATATTATATCTGCGTAGTGTATCAGTTGGTATACCATGAATAATATATAATTATTATGGTTAGCAATTATTTTATAAACAATGATAATCTTTCAATTGTATACGGTAAATAACATTAAATAGTACAATCACTGTAGCTGCTATATCGTATTATAATATTTACAAATTCAGCAATTAGTATAGATACGCATGTAATAGAATACAATCCAGGAAAATTACTATTAATGAATCCTAGCTACGATATAGTAGTGTACAGCCAATCTAATACGGTTTACAGCATAGCTGTATCTGCATAAGAATCGACAAATTTATGGCGCTCAAAGTGAGATAGTTAAGAAATTTTGCTTTCGCTTCCTTGCGGGCATGCTTTATATTAATCAGCTGTAAATCAGTGATACGTGCAGTCTTGTTGTAATGACGAGATAGAAAAACACGCCTTAGAATGTTTACCTTTACGATTCTTGCATGTGTTAAGCTTTTCTATTATTCTCGTGGCTATTTTATCACAAGTTTGGACAAAAGGTTAAATTTTAAAATTTCAAATTAAAAGTAATACAAATTCTACACCGTTGAAGCAGAAGATACCTAATCCATGCATAAATGTAATGCAAATCATTCGTATCATATTAACACTAACTTTAATTTATTTATTAAAGACTTCCGAATAAAATCTCTTTCTTGGATACGAAAGAATTTATTAATACTGTAGCCAATAGTTAGCATCTTCGCTATCATAGTTCACTCAGAATTATTTACAATATAAAATTGAATATATTTCAGGATATCCCTCACAATGTTATCAACAATGTAGTTTAACAACGTTGGGTTTCATAAGTAAGATTGTAAGAAAGACACGCATTTACTATACATTACAAATGCAGCTTAAGACAGTTTCCGTAAACAGTATTTGCTATGCCATACTGTCTAGATATTAAATAAGCTGAAATATATATTAATTAAAATCACTAGGAATCTTACTTTTGACTACGAATGTAATAGAATATATGCTACAGTGCCTATTGGAAGTTAAGTAAAGTTCACCAAGTTTTATTTGAAAAAATCTTTTCAGTAATTTTACTACCTATAATCACATAACCACATAGAAAATTTGTCTTAAAGAATATTGCAAGTTCACAACAATAAGCAGAAGCCATTAAACTGGCCCTTGTCCTTCGAATGTATCAGTTTCGTCATACCTGATGATAGAATTATAGTTAAATTTAATTTATAACTAGTGAACTAAGACTAAATCAATTACTAACGTATCAATAAAGGAATTAAATTTTAAAAAGAATTCTCCAGACTCACAGAGTGTACTCGTCCTCCACTGTTCCCTCTTCGGCTACGAGTAATTCATATTCATTCATAGCATAACGTTCCCAAAAGGTCATATCCGAAAATTCATCTTCAAGGTCCTAATTATAATGAGTTGTAACCAGTTGTGTTACAATTGCGAAGACATATTAACTACTATAACAACATTATGGTCTGTTACTGTACTTTATCTGCGAACGGATCACGTTGCTCATATTCCATAAATTTGCTGAAATTTACAAAGGCGTTGAAGAAAATGTGACCAAGGCCGCAGGCCTTGATATCTCGGACAGTGATAGTATTTTCTATTTTGGGCTTCACTAAGTCTATCATCTGCATCAAATTAAAACGAATATATACATAAACTTTATTGCTATAGCGTAAATTATCTAACAATTATATTGTACATTTGGCAATTGCAACTCTCCATAACCAAGGCAGGGACAACTGAGAAGAAAGCCGGGTTTTCCTCTCAGTAGCCCTGACTAAGGTTATGCTGTATGCGGCAACTGCATAATCATTGGCCTACCTGACATAGCAAATCTTCAAATTTAACGGCCTCCACACCAAGAGATTCCATTCTACAGTACTGCTCGTTGTAAAAATATTCCAATTCGTATGTAGATAAATATCCGTCGCCATCAAGATCCATACATCGGAACCAATACTCAATGCTAATTGTTTACAAGACGAAATATAGCACAATGACATTATATACAAACATCATCTTCAGAGTAAGTTCTATAGTAGATCTGGTTAATTCCCATAGGAAATCTACCTCTTTGGATGTTTCTTATCCTCTTCCGATATTAAAAACCAAACAAATTCTTCAAAAGTCAGTGTTTCTGATTTCATTGTTGTGACGGCACCAGAGAATATTTTATCTATAATCTTTCTGGAAAGAGCTATGGTAAAATGATAATTAACAAAAATGTCTAACAACAAAATGTTCTATAGAGGATCAAGTCACCCTAAATTTGATAATAACCTTGATTGTTATGCCTATACAGATCTTCCTTAGTAATTAGCATGTCATGATTATCATCAAGTTCCCAAAATTTACAATAAATTACGTAAAAGTGTTCGTAGGAGAAATAATCGGTAATCTACAGATTATACGAGCAGAAGGTCAAAGATTACAAATTACTGAGTATAATTGCGTACACATCATTCTGAAATCGTAATTAGTCAGTATTAAGTTCTTACTTGGTTGATATCAGTTTCATCTTCAAGTAATCTCAATACCTGAGTGTTATTCAAAAATATATCGATAAATTTTACTCAAATATCACAGAGGAATCTAGTACAGTGATATGAAGGCGAACAATTATTTTTATAGTTGGAGAGATTTACGCACTATTAAAAAATTGCTCTTTCGTAATTCTGGCAGTGTTATTCGATACGACCATGTTTTATTAACGTTATAATAAATACGTGCAATAACCTGCATTATAAAAGAATAAGCACTTCAGTAAATTTCATAAACTGTCGTGAATGCGCAACTAACAACAACAATCCAAATACATAAAGAATGCCATAAACATTATAATTAAAAATTTTGTAAGGCAATACGCGCCTACATTCGCAAGGGATACAAGTATCATCAATGATCTACACTGACCGTTTTTATATAGTGAGAATGGAATTCGGCAGCTTCGTTTAAGAAGGATAATCCAGGATGTTCATCGATTACATCCTATGATCAAAGCGATTGGGATAATGAGTTTTATCAAATACTAGTTGAAAGTACAAATAGATACACTACATTAATTGGTTATGAGTAAGATGCAGGTGTTGTCAGCTACAACTTAATGTTAATGATGAAGAACGCAAGATACTGCTCATATCACCATGATTTGAAGATCTATCCGATCATTGCAATAGTAATACTTCAAAGGTGCCGACATATTTTTACAACCAATGATACAGGAGAAGATGATGTAGAAAACAAGTCTCACCTGAATTAAAGGTACGAAATCATCAAATTCTATGTAATCTTTCGCGTCTTGAGTCAGAAGATAAAATACACGAGAAATATCATCATGGTATTTGCTTGTAAATCTAAACAGCATTAATAGAGCCAAAAATTATTTTTAACACCTTTATCACCATTTTAATATTAAGAATTGATAGTAAATTATATAACTTAATTTAGACAAAGTGATTTTTATAGATTATAGTCGTCAAAACAAGCTTATTTTTTACAGATATAAGCGCGTAATAGTATTAATTAATTACCTAGACTCTTCACTAGTAACGAACAAATAAATTGAAAACATTAACCGTGTGCAAGCTGTAATTTTACGTTACACAGTAGTGCGAGCTATATTTACCTGTTCCAAAAATTTTGAAAGTCATGCATCGTGATCGAATTCGCACCACTGTCACAGGCAGCATTAAATAAAGACGATTTCAAGTAGTGGGGCAAACCACAAGCCTAAAATAATATTGCGGTGAAGACATTAGTACCTTATCCAAGTAGGTGATTAGTAGCGTTGTTTTTACGTAAATGAACGTTAGAGTTTTCTAAAAATAAATTATAAATATACAGAACTAGAGTCTTTAGCTCAGTACTTGCTAACGATAACAGCGAATGTGTACAGTATTTCATATAGACTATGCTGTCAAGTTTACGTTTACTGTGGGAAGGTACAGGATGCTGCACATACGAGTGAATGGTTATCAGCTAAAAAGAAGAGATCATTACGAAACTACGGTTCTACAACTTATAGCGTATAAAAGCAAAAGGATTTGCTAATGATAAAACAAATGCATTATTGAAAAACTGTTATTTGCAACGTGTTCCTATAATAGTTTAAAACGAAACTATCAACGACAACAAACGAGGAACATTGCTAGCACATATACAAGCAGATTATACTGTATAGAAATTACTAATGCTTTGATTTACCTTAGCTACACTGCCGAAATCTTTAGAGTGCCATGTGTGTTGAGGAAATGTGGAAAATAAATCCGTTATAGCTTGATCTTGGCTAGTTTGCTTTCCAAAAGGAAAGTAAAATCCCGGAATTTTTGTACTATCGACGGTCAAGTTCTCTGTGGCATCTTCGATACTATTGGCTTGCAAGGAAGTGCTTAAAATTCGACTGATATTTTTGTTGTTTAATCGTGGGCTACGAGGCTGCTGATTTGAAGGTGGCGGAGCCGGTGGTGACATGGGACGACTACGAGAAGTCGATCTAGGAGAGGTAGATTGAGCACCGATCGGCTGTCCATGTAGTAAATTTTCGACCTCATGTTTCAGCGACTGCTGAATATGATCATCAGTAATAAAGGTGAAAAATAGCTCTTTGACCTTATCTTGCAAAGCTACGGTTACATGCATTTTATTGATAACTTGATCAATAGTTTCCAACACTACAGCATATCCAGCAGCTTTGGCGCCAAGTCAAATCGTCTATTGAGCGAACTCGGCAAACTACAGCTAGGTAAGTTGCATATGACAGTTGATAATTCTACCGCACTTTGAGGATGATAATTATACTGATCAGTGATCTAGTTGGTGTGTTAAATCGTACGACCGTTACTAGTCGTGAAAGATGTTTGGATAAGCCAACGCTTGATTTAGCTAACTGATTCACAGCATGGATTTCAAGCTATAATTCGTTGAACTCAGTGTTGACGAACAAGTTTCCAGATCCCCAGGTGGTTAGCACTCCTTGTTGAATTTGTTGAGCTTTCACTAAATTGACGCCGTCCGGTGTTGCTCTGATCGTCTCAATCTCTCGTCAAAGATACTGTCATAAGTAGATGAAAATCGATCCCATTCTCAACGACTGTGCACTGTGCAGTAGTTCAAGTTCTCGACAAAAAGCCGAATAAACCATATACCGTACTGTAACTTGGATATTCGAGTGTGCGTATATCAAACTGAATCGCTTACCTTACTGAACTAATAGACTCTATTCTAATTTTACTGCCTTATTTCCATTCAATACTGTAAAGTCAGTGCAATATACTGTACAGTAATTATTCAAATCAATCCAACCGCTCGCTACGATCATGCAAGTAAATATAAAACCACTAATAACTGAGGTTATGCTCTCTTCTAGAGTACGTTGTCATTCAATGCATAACTCCGCCAGCTGACTAAAGGTTAATTATCCCATTTCTAAATCTTTGTACAGCATACGCGTATGAAGTGATTAAGTAAACGTAAACTTACCTCTCAAGGATGTACACTAGTGTACATTTGTCACCAGTAGGCAGACTGGACGGCCCAATTTGTTAACCAGTTGAGAAATGGGTTGTTTCAAAGTAGATTCTTTTTCAACAGTAATAATAAATGTACTGTATATACAGTATAGTTCAATGATATGAAATAGTTGACTAATACTGTAGTTGGCCTCGCATTTGCTGATGGAATCTCTTCTTTACTCAACTTGAACTAGCAGTACACTATTTTTCATTCATAGTACTGTAGTAAGCTGTCTATAAGCTACAGTAGTGTACTACGATTTGAAATCTTCCACGTTATTAGGGTAAAAATGACCGCTCAAAACAAATTAATTAATTATGCCTGGAGCAAAGGACAGTTACTGTAATGCATTGATTGCGCAATACTGTACGGTGCTGACACAGAACCTTACTCTAATTACCTGCATGTGCTAACAAGACTTGCGTTGATCAAAGTCGAACTTTTTCAATCATGATTCTAGTACAAAAAGTATGGATTAAATCGGCCAGCATGGCTAACTGTACTGGATGGCGGATATGGAATACAGGATAACTTCCACTTCATGGACTACCACTAGTCAACAGAGATTTTTTATACGTAACCACTTTGTGTATCGGACAACGGGGTACATAGTAATGCACTTTTATTCAATCATAGCTCATTGTATGGAAGACGAGTCTTGTTTTGAGATGTAGAGTTAACCAACCTCGATCATGTATTGAACATGACTTTATAGGTCCGATCTGACAGTAGTTTCTTGTCAGTACTCAAGACTACATGGAAAGTAGCGAGAGTACAGCATTGCTGCAGCAATTAACAAATACTCAATTTTCCACTCAATTCGAGTCAGTAACAACTTCTGCAGATTGCTTTGGACCATCGAAGTAAAGATCATCATCAGTGATCCATTCCAAAACATTGAACTGATTGAATCCATTCGATCTTTCAATAACTAATATCATTACGCTCAATCCAGTTGTGTTACAGTATGCTGAAAAATGTCTCGTTTATTTGGTATCCCTGATGAATGGAAGGTTAATGATGATAATTTCCCTACAGCATCTTCCCATGAACAAAGGATTGTGGAGAAAAATGTTGCAAAATACTATAGCTATCAAGAAGACGTCTATCATGATGGAAGGTAAAAAAAAAACCCTAGGGTTGACTAAATGATAGCAATCTGTATTCATGACCGGTTTGAGTTTCATTCAAAGTCCATGATAGGCAATTCTTGCTTTTATAATGCTTTGAACACTCTACGAATTGATACGTGTTGTAAGAATGAATTCACCTGAGTTGCATTTGATATTTAGGATTCAGCTGTTTATCCGTCAGCATCTAAATTACTTAAACAACAGTCTGAAAAAACTGCCGCAATCCTATCAGGTATGACAGTTTTCATCTGCTAATACTGTACTTACAATACAAAAAGTGGCTCATCTTGAAAGGTTGTGAATTGAATTGCCCAGTCATAAAATACAGTAGAATAAATGCGATGAGTACGATATTGACAAACTGGGATAATTAAAAAGTCATCCTCCAAATTAGAACGCTATGACTATAATTCATAATTCATAAAACTCTCTAATCGGCCTGTAACATTGACGAAATATTGTTTGACATGGCTGGACTTACGGTATTGAAATTTTGTATTCTATGAACTACATTTATGCGTAATTGCCTCCTACAGCGTAGGAAATTGATTAAATTAAACTCTTTCTGTCGTAGCGCCAAGACGACTTACAGTTTATATTACTATTAGCTATAGTTTATAATAAAGTGTAGCTACAGCAATGCTATGATCACGATATACAGCAATATTATTGGGGACGTCTTTAAAATGCTAGAGACAGTACTCTGAAACGTACTGGTGATTCCCTAACTTGAACGCCTTTAATTGTTCAAGAATTAATGACAATATACGAGTAGATAATGATAAAATGATTATCATATAAGGTAGTGAATTAGAATTGTAGCGATTAATTATTATTCTATCTTGAAAGTGCCTTGATGCAAGTAGACCTTGGCTGGTATATTGGATATTGCACAGCTTAGATTTGCTTAAGAAAACACCACCAGAAGAATTCAAACATAGGTAACGTTATTATGCAACATCCTGTAGAATCTGAGATTCCATTTTATGTTGGTTGATCCACGGTTATGTATACAGAAAGAGCTAATAAATTGAATCCAAAACGACAGTAAAGTTTAGTATTTCTTGCTTTGCTAATTCAGTAATCCAAAATCTGCTTTATAATCATCGTAAATGAATTAATTGATTGATTGATCCCATTTTAGCATAATCGATTTCCTTTCTCGATGTCAGTCACCTGATGGAGGTTTCGGAGGTAAATTAATTGTTGAGTATTATTACGATTAATCAGTAAAATTGAAGCGTATTCTGTCCGTTTTTCTCATTTGTGATCCAGGCGGTCCAGGACAAATACCTCATTTAGCTCCAACCTATGCTGCTATTTGTGCAGTTTGCATTGTCAATCTGAAAGAAGGATATCAAATGATAAATAGGTAACTTGTTCGATAACTGTAAACTTTTACTCAGCATCACGAGTATCAATTGACTTTATCCCCAAAGTTAATTGCATAGATAAAAATCCTTTCGTTTTATCTTAGGTTAATTTCGATTGTGTTTAGATTGACCTGTTTTATTACTTACTTAAAACTCGCTAATATTAAAGGAAGGCATTACAGAATTTCCTGCTAAGTCTGAAGACTCCTGAAGGAGCCTTCCGACTTCATGATGATGGAGAAGTTGACGTTAGGCAAGCAGCTACAAGCTATTTATTTCTTTTCTTTACGTCTTGCAAGATGTTAAATATCTGAATTGCTACCCAATAGAGGGGTCTATTGTGCTACTGTAGCTGCAAGACTTACTAATATTGCGAATTCGGAGCTCTTCAAGGATACTCCTGAATGGATTGCTCGGTAGGCATATTATACAGTATTTGCATTCTCCGTTTAATTCCAGTCGATATTTATATATTGGTATCGTGTTAATTTTTTGTTATATATATATTTATACACCAATATGATAGATGTCAAACATACGAAGGAGGCATAGGCAGTATTCCTGGTAAAGACTACTTCACTCATTGTGACCAGCGTTCTAAAGTTTTATTTACATTAGCGTATATCTATATCTGGGATGTCAAGCTTAGAAATATAGACAAGATTAGGATATTATATTCTTTACAACATAGGAATGGAAGCTCACAGCGGTTATTCTTTCTGCGGCTTTGCGGCCTTAGTACTTCTCGGCCATGAAGAAGTCATAGACTGTCAAAAATTATTGGTAGGCAATTCTCAGAAACTATTTTTCAGCAACGTTTTCGGTTGCTTTTATAAGCAATCAAAATGTACAATTGTATGATGGCAGTAACAACTATCTTCTACATGTACAGTATTTTTAAGTAATCGTAATTGCTGACATCAGGTTCTTTTGTTCTTTAGAGATGGACGGCAAGAAAACAGATGCAATTTGAAGGTGGATTCCAGGTATGAAATTAGTCAGTCAATAGTGATATTGTTGGTCAATTGCTTGGCCTGTACTTCAGCTGTTTAGACTTTTTAATAATGATTTAAGACTAAATGAAAAGGAACAAACATTTCAGCGGATTGCAATTATTTATACGCAATTATCAGGGCAGAACAAACAAATTAGTTGATGGATGTTACTCATTTTGGCAAGGAGGATTGTTCCCATTATTGAATTTAGTTTTATTCATGAACGGTAAGATAAAAATATTTTTGAGGGTGTTAAGAATTTTAATAAAGCAATGACTTTCATTCTAATGATTACTGTAATGCAACAGGAGATGAATCCATTGATCTTGAAGAATGGCTATTTGACGATGGTAAGTTTTGGTCATTAACTTCTTATCCGTTTTTGCGCTTATTGCATGATGAAAATAATATTTAGAATATTTTTTCATATATTAATTTCTAAATAGTGGCATATCGTTAATTTTTCCTAAATTTCTAAATAGTATTCGATGTCGTTAAAGTATAGGGTTACAGAATCTATTATATACTGTATAGTTTATTTGATGTAACTTATTATAGTTGCGCTACAAGAATATGTCTTGGCATGTTGCCAGCATCCTAAAGGTGGTTGTTTCGACAAACCTGGAAAGTAAGTGTACCGTTGATAAGACTTGTACCAATTAAAACTATATATTAATTGGTAATTTACTCCTATTTAATTAGGCCTAGGGACTTTTATCATACCTGCTATGGTCTAAGTGGACTATCAGTTGCTCAACATGTTGGCAATCAATATAAAACTAAACGTGTTGTGGGAGATCCGGAAAACGAACTAGTAGGTCAAATATATGCTGGCTGATATATTGTCAGTATGGTTATGAAGTGAAAGTAGTTTTTCTGATATTAAACACCGATAATAACTTTCTATAATGGCATGCAGTAAGTATGACAGAACAACTAAGCCGTTCATTTTTGCTAATTATAATAATAATTTACTTTTTTATGGGCTTCTTCAGAATCCAACGCATCCAGTTTACAACATCAATCCTAGTCATGTTGTGGATATGCAGAAGTATTTCAATGTGCTATCGCCACCTTAATATGTATTATGCTTTTGAGGCTTAACCGATTGTCTACACATTGTCAAATTACCTTGCAAGCAGAAGGGAGAGTCATTCACTTTTCATGTAAAATCATCACGAATAGTTAGATTGCAGCGAAATACGGGCATCTGTTGCGCTACAAACATTAATGTAGGTGTTTGCTGTCATCAAGTTGGCTAAGTTTGATTAGACTATTTTTCTTTATAAATCCCCCGTTGAATTAGCTGTCAAAGAATTCTATATAAATTTCTGTATGTAATGATGCATTATTTATTACCGACAATAGGAAAGGTAATAGTATGGTTCAACGCATTGATGTGTATATCTTATGGCCTTTAAGGAATTATTATATTGTCGTCGTTGTGATAAACATGTAAATATTCGATCATTATTTGTATCTTGTTCAATATTAGCCGTGGATTATATTAAGACTTTTATCTGCTAGTTATATTTACGGGATACTCCATTTGTTTCATATTAATTGTACTTTCAGGTATGATTAAATAAATCATATTTGAATAATATGCCGTCTTATCAACACTCGAGAGTAAGTGCAGTACATTCCAACTATGCCAATCGATACCAATTATAAGTAATTGCCTAGAAATTGAGCAATGTCGTGAATGTACCGTATGTAAGATCAATTGCCAATTTAAATGCTCACTTTAATTCTAGGTTAGCGTTCGAGTCTTTAAATTTTTTACCAATAAATTCCTGTGGCGCTTTTCAAAGTAAACCTACTATTTACATATTCAGCAGCGCTCAGTTTCGCCCCTACTATATACAAGCTATAGACCTTAGTTACTTATACGAATTACGGATATATACGGTTTCATAGTTACCAGTTCAGTACGCAGGATCAGAGAAGAAATGGTTTTAGAATTAATTAATTAATTACTTTATAATTGTTCTTATTATACTAATGCTCATCTGCATAACAATTTGATTTTTCTGGTAAAGCTACGCCTAACTGCAACCTTCATCGCAACATATTCATGATCTTTTTTTGCTAGCTTATTTACTAGGACATTGAATATTATCAACTCATAGGTTAGGTATAAAACTACCGCTTTATTTATGTATGATAGTAACGGAGCATAATTTATTTACTCTTTTACTCTTGCACAATACACAAAGGAGTAGTCAAAGTACTATTTTACTAATGATTTTCTATAGTATTTTACGCTCGCAGTAGATACTTAATTATTTTAAGAGCAAATCACAGTAGGACTAACTGGAGATAAATTTACGATTCCAGTTTGTAGGTAAATGTCTCGCTATGAAACTTAAATTCTTTTACTATAAATAAAAACGGCTTTGCTATGATATATCAACGATTTCATCAAAAACAAGTTAACAGCGTGAGTTATATCAGATTACGCTACTTAACAATTTAAGATATAGAGTATTAAAATTGTATATTTTAAGAGCGTTTTCGGTGCTAGAAGTTTGATAAACTGATTTACTGTCTCAGCCGTAAAGTGGTTAATTTATCAGTCACTTGCAATGTAACTAAATTAATTTATAATTAAAAGTAATTGAATGATTACACTAAGTCGAGTACTATAAATATACTATACTTTTTAGACTACAATCGCAAAATCAACCTGTTTGATTGTTTCCATTAGTTTGAGGGTTAAACTTGATGGAATCAGTTAGGAATACAAAGTGTATTGGAATTAGTCTTCATCAAATCTGCTACTTAGCTTTAATATTTCTGTCATACAAGCACAAGAGAAATAGCATATTTCTTTGGTTTTATTTCGTTTTCTTCATTCCTTTTTTATTTCTAACGTTATTCGTATGATCACGTTCCAGGATTGATTTTTCTATAAGTTACGAAAAACAACGCCCAAGTCTAGATAGAATAGACACACCTTTAGCCTCAGTTATTCTCAAATTTCATAATTTCCCCATCAATCAATCAATCTTCCCGTTGGTACCACCATTACTAGATCCATTTGGTATGGCTTATGCAACACATTAATTGGGCTCAAAATCTACAGAATCACGATATCTAAATGACATATCATGAGCAGTTCAAGAAATTCGACGAATCTTTTGGTACGAACCACAAACGGTAATCCAATATATATCAAGTAAACAATTGTTCCGTATGAAAACAATCCTTCCTTTACAAATTATAAATTACTACTCAGTTTTTATTGCTAGCTGCAGTAGATTACTTGCGATCGGCAACGATTTCGCGCCTACGATCTCAGAGCTTGTATTGTATATTTCTTAAATCAGTTAGGTTGGGAAGCAGCAATGCAACAGTACACTAGATTGCGAGTATTACAAAATACAAAGAATAGGAAATAATGATGCTAGTACAATTATAGACGTTTTATAAGTTATTTCCTGGTAGCTAAAAATGCTGTTATTTTACGTCACAATCATTGAGAGCCATTTCGTGCCTAAATATTCAGTAGTTATAACGTTAGATATTTATTTCGCTAAGATATTTCCAATATGTCAACTCTGTTGAGATTGTATTAACCTTTAAAAGCCATTAATATGTCATTTCAATTCCTTTGAACAGAGGAAGTAACCTATATCGCTATTATTGCAGCAGTTGGTTGCCTTATTCTTGCCGGTTTGATAGCACTCGCCTATATCATCTATCGTATCCGTAAAAAAAGACGCAGTCAGGCTGATCCGTACGAATCTATTTTCTCCGAAGGAAAAAGTAATGTCAGAAAACCAGGCACCGCTCGCAAATTAACCGTTAGTAATACGGGTGAAAATAGTTGGTCAATTGTGACAAGTATCAACAGACCCATTGCTCTACCAGAGACTCATGAAAAGCAGTCTAATTTATAAGATTAATTACGATAAATTTTAAATTTTGTCACAGATCTTAAAATATCACTAGGATTGCCACGTAGACCATATTATGAAGTTTCTCTGCGCCTCAGCACTGTAAAAATACGGCCATAAGAAAGCTATCGTATACCATGAAATACATAATACTGTTATTGATATACGTGAATATCTGCATTTTCATACGTTCTTGAATGCGGAAGAGAATAGATTGTCTGCCTACTCATTTATATAGCTAATTTAACAATATTTATGATAAATGTAGACAGATAAGAAAATCTAGCTAGATTTCATACAGCTACTATTTAAGACCTAAACACAATAATGTCTCTTCAATATCTAATTAAAATGACTTGCTTCTCAGATTTGCTACTCCAATATCTGTACCAGTATATTAAAGCATATAATCGGCATTTTAAAACTAAATATCAAATTATTAAATCCACGCTATACTCTAAAGCGTTAAATCATGTCAAAAACTACGGTACTAAATTTATATCGAATTCAAGTAAATCACAGTTGACTGTTGCATAAGCAATATCTCCTTCTATTTCTTCGTTATAAACTACCAAGTATCTTTGAAAACTGTGGAAATGAATCTATACATTAGCTATGCTGGCATATTACAATTAATTTTGTAAGCGTTTAGTCTAAATATTTTCTCTAGAGAATTATCGAAAATTCATTTAGAACTAAGAATGACTGTCGATAATATTATTAAAGGATCTAATGATCTTGGCCAATGACGCAATCACTAGATAATGCCCAAGCATCAATATGTGATTAATTTGGAAAACGATTTGTCATCAAACGTTTATTTAAATGCTATGTTTAAGTATATGTTATCCAATAAATATAATCGTTTACTCATACGAACTTTCAAATATTATTAATTTAAAGTTAACTTGTGAACATCTGCTTATTTAGTTAACTTGGACCATAATATCTTTACAAGACTTTACAAGACTTTACACGTTTCAGAAGTTTAGAAAAATTTAATAAGTTCTTATTAATTAATAAAACGTTAATTTAATAATAGAACAGTATCAGTCTTCTGGCTATAGTATCGTCTCTCGTAAATCCTGATTGTCACATTCGTTACAATTTTCACTTTCATTGGAGCAAGTTATTTCTGTTACAATTTCTTCGGCAGATTTAGCCTTTTTGATATCTTCAGTTCTACAACGATGCTTATCAATCATAAAATTAATCCTAGCTTTATTAATACTTAGCTTTGAACAGAAAACTGTAGCTTGTGTTATACTACGATCATGATGGACGATTTCATCATCATCACGGTTACTAGCAAATTCGTTGAACATTAATGGATAGCTCTTACTTCTGACTAAGAGTTTGTTACTTGTAGGCGTATCAAGTATAGAATTAATTTCATCGTCTTGAATGTTCTCACTATCGATTAAAACCAATTTCGTAAACGTAATTTTTTCAAATTCGTCATATAGTCTGCTTAAGCAAGATTCTGCGCTATCAAAGAAAGGCTGCATTGAAATTTGCTGAATTTCGATAATTTGCTGCTTCATGATCTCATTTCTGTCCTTCTTTTCAAATAATTCTGTCTAAAAAGACAAAAAGACATATACGTGCTTCGTCATTTAAAAGGATTAGGGGTATCTTATATCTGCTACTATATGCAGTTGATAACAAGACCAATTAAATTTGTAATCCTCACTAATGAAGACTTGACAAACGGTAGCAGATGTAGATATAACGGAGTTCTATACATCATGGTAAATTTAATAAAGTCCAAAAGTGCTATTCTTAAGCATTCATTGTCTAGATCAAGATTGAAGAGATAAAATGTATTGAGTCGACATTTCTCAACTTAAACAATTCCCAACAATAAACGATAGTAATTTCATAATTATTCTATCTGCAATATAAACTCTAGTACCTAAAGTATTTAAATACCTTGTGCTGCTTTAAATATAAATATGGGATTCGGGCTTTAGTTTTAACATATATATGCAATACTTTATTTGTAGGAATACACCTTTATGGTCATAGATAGGTGTTTCTGTTACTAAAAGGGTAAAAATTTTAATTTCCGAATACTCATACCGATTTCCGTTGTGAAATATTCTTGGATAAATTTACTCAGTAGCAGCCAATGATTTCCGAGTACTTTATGGAAACTGGTAATCAAGACTTTTAGACCTTTCATAAAACGATACAAAGACAATTGCCACACTTACGAAATTAATCCAATGTTTTACCAACTTAATACTCAAAGTAGCTTCACCGTAAGCAAAGAAATAATCAACATCAAAGTTACATTACCTAGGAATGCTATATGTTGCAATTGTTCTATTTTATTTTCATTTAGTTTCGACAGGTTCTTTCTCGGTAAGAAGCTAAAACTACCGCAATGCAAACTATTAGGGGGATGGCCAATTAATTCTGGCATAAACTGCATCAGTTTTCGGCGTTGTTTGCTTTGATTAGCTAGGGCACTTAGGTAACACTTCATTAAGAAAACTATGTCAGGATACAAGACGCAGCAGTCTTCACCTATAATAATGTCATAATAAGTTTTTAAAACTTTATTTGCTTGTTCTAGTCAAAGCATGACACAAAGTATTGTATTTAAGCTGTCAACAAAGGATCAATCACTCATTCTTAATATATTCAAAAGTTAGTTTCATGCCTAAGAAATTATGCTTGGCAATTTGGAAGGTTAGAGGTATCAAAAAGCGGATAAAGACCAGCTCTTTTTCGGTTTTATCTCCAAACTCGAAGTCGTTATTGCAAGCTGCTCTTAAACATGAAAATTCTTTAACTGTATAAAGTTCAACAACTACCAAGTCAAGCACTGCTTGTTGGAAGGCATCGGGTACTCTATTTAAAGTTGTATCATTGTATCCAGAAATTCCTTCATCAAATGGAGGGACATTTTCGTATAGAAAGGATACTAAGCTACTGATTACTCCCTATTGACAAGACATAATTTTACTTTAATAATACAATACTTTCGTAATACTAAATCATTAGTGGTTTACATCATAGGATCATGTTAAAATTTTAATTTAAAACAACCTGTACTGTTTGAACACCAGCTAATTCTTTCTTTTTCTGAATGATCGTAGTCAATCCTAAGAAAAAAGAAAGTTAAGAGGTTGTCTTATTCTTTTTACGTGTTTATCAACGGTATGCCAAAATATTTTCTTAAACGCTGTAAATATTTCAGTTTATTTGCATTTACTGACAATCACCTTTTGCCAGAGACACGATTAATTCACAACTTTGGGATGTCTAAAACCATGTAGCAATGATGATATTAATCAATATAACAGCGCAATAATGAAGTAAGCTAGACTATTTTATGATATTATTTTTATTCTCGATATCTTAGCTTAGGTTGCAGTATCTACAAATATAATCCATCACTTAATTGATGACCATACCTGGAATGCTTGCATTCTAGCTGAACTATGAAGTACTTTATCTAACTTCTTCATAAATGATCGAAAATACTTGAACAAATTTGGGTGTAGCCAGTCAATTGCAGGCATAATTTGTGTAAAATATCTAGATTATGTCGTGATAGAAGGTAAATTTCAAGTCATAACTACCAGCGAGTCAAAGCAATGCCATTACCTAGAGATATTCACATTTCGCATTACACTAGAGTCATAAAGAGCCAGCTTGAATAAAGATACGGTCACATCGGTAATAATCTATCATAAATGTAATAAAGTGATCATATTTGTTAATAAAAAGGATCTGATTATATTAATGATTTTTCTCAGTAATTGATTTTACCGTAAAGCAATTATTATCAAAGACGTCAGAAATGGAATATTGCCTTGGTAAGTAATGACTTAATTCAGTTAGACGTTGCAAGTGTACTGTGACAAATGTAGACACGATAGATAGTAGATAGTCTCCGCGTTGACTATCTTTGATCCGTGCACCACCATCATATTTTTCGCCTTCACGAAACATAGATGCCTGTTCGAAGGTTCCCTGCCTGTAATAGAAGATCGAATTCCAAAAATCAGTATTAGTTTAGAATTGTGGTAAATTTGAAAGCAAGAAGTTTTTCTCCGTCTAAATTACCGTTTACCATTTGTATTTTGAGAGCCTTACCTGTAAGGGGGTGTTGATTGCCGAGTTAAACTAAATGTTTGATTAGCAGTTATGGAACTTGTTACATCAATGAATACACTATGATTGCTGCTTTCCATATCTTTCCTTTTGTACTTGTTATCACCATGCAGTACATAATGATTATATAACTTTTGCGGTATGGTAAAACTCCTAAGTAATTACGCAAAAATGCTCTGTATTTTTCACTACTTTTAAACAAGAAATGATAAAGATATATCATATTAATTAGTAATGATGAAAGCTAACTTTGCCATGAATTTACTGTTCTTCAGTAATAAATGGATGGAAGAAGCAATTTCGTTTAGAGCATCCACTTCAAGCTTGCAATCAATAAGTTTTTGTTTGCTCACTCGGGTTTTCTCTCGGAGATGATCGTAATAGTAGGGCAATAATAAATTGAGAATACTCTAGCATGTTTAAAATGAAAGTTAGTCAATAAAGTAGATAAACTGCTGTCGAAACCGGGAACAAATTATGTATTAGCTACTTTACCATTAACTGAAAGCTTCTTTTACTTTCTGGTGCATAAACAAATACTACTACACAGAGGCGAATAACTAATTTAAAGTCGAATTGCCAATCTACAGAATCGTAGCAGTTGTCCTGCAAAAGGTTAAGTCAAATTAGATTAAAACACAGAACTTGAATATCAGCACTAGATGGAAATTATTTCGGTAATTATTCGAGTAAAACTTTCTAATTATTGCTACGTAAAATAAAATAGAAGATGTTGAATTGGAATTTTGAATCGCTGCATACTGCTGCTTTGGGTAAATTTTCGAAAAGATCAAGAATACCAATCGGATCACTCGGTTTCGATTCCATGGACATCAATAAGGAAAACATGTTGTGAGCTGATATCTGAGGTATAACTCATTGTTAGTATTGGTTTTACTTTTTTCGATATTATCCACTAATATTATTGTAAATTACTTACTTTTTCGGTTTCGTTCACGGCAATGTTTGGCTTTGATAGCAAAGGTTCTATTATAGCGAGGCACTTACGGTTTCCGTAGAAAAAAACAATTAACTTAAAGAAGGCTCAAGTTATTTAATGTATTAGCAGAGCGAAGAAAATTTAAATTTTCAGTTTGGTTACATTATTAGAACGAATTCGGTTTCACGATTACTAAATGCATTGATTGAAATAGTTGAACTAAAATTGTCATAATATTAACGATTTCAATTATACCCGGAGTAAGAAAGGGCTCCTATGTATTGCATAGAATTGACTCCATGTAAACTAATTGGAATACAATAGATGACATGATTAGAGTAATTTATGCCAGATGGTTATTATACTTAATGTAATAATATAGTATTGACGGCATACATACTACTAGATAAGGTGAATTAACGCTATATGCTTACCTCTATGGCTTGCTTAGCCAACGAATTATGATAATGGTGAGCATATATTTGTATTAATGTCGGCAGGATGCAATTATAACTGGAATATAGAAATTTTGAAGAATTAAAGCATTGACATTGGTAGAAGCAATTATTCTATTAGATGTAATATATATATTATATTAATTAAAGTAACACTTTCATTTCAAGATTTGCTAGGTATTATAAGTGGTAAGCGTAATATACCCGCAATTATTTATAAACGATTGACCAAATTGTTGAGCAATTTTTATAAACACTGCCAGACCAGATCTCAGGATTATAACCTCTTCACTATGCATTAATATTGCTCCGTTAATGATATTAATATACGACGTGAATTCATCAGACCATAAATATGACGATGTCGAACCAATTCCTTGAAACAATTCCAAGATAAAGTTAATCCATGAAAGCCTTTGCACAATATCTGTAGTGATTAATTCCTATAAATAAAACATAGCAAGGCCAATGTTAAGCCACTCTTGATAATAAAGATGTGTAGCTCAGCCACTAATTTCAAGTGCTTCTCAAGGTTCCATATAAAGTAAATTGCGCCCACTTACACGACCATAGGTCTCTATACCACAAAGAACGAAATCGACATCAATTGCGGTCCTAGGGAATGATTGCAGCTTCACTAAATCAGAATGGAGCTGTAAGGATTGCTGTAAGATCTATTCAAGATTAAAATAAACATTCACCAGTAAAGTGCTTTTCAAGAAAAGATTATTTGTACAAATATGATAATTAATTTATGTCATATCTGATTTTTCAATAGCTAGCTTAATGCTAAGCATTTCGTTTATTACCTGATTATCATCAACGTGGACTAGCACTTGGGTGAAAAGTAATTTCCCGACTTCTGCCAATTTTCTAGTTATAATCTTTTAAATTTATAAGATTTAATGTGGTATCATTGAAATATTCACTGTAGTAGAATTTATTAGAAAAGCTGCAATTGGATTAAATGGTCAGTGATACTTCATTATTTCATCAATACTGTAACTATTTTACTATTTTAGTTTACATCAGCCACACCTGTGCAGAAATTCGTTGCTCCTTGTCATTGCGAGATAATTTCTTAATCAACAAATTAGGTGGTGGATTGTTACGATGACTGTAGAAATCTATGACATAGTCTTTTGAGTCGAAAACATAATCTAAGGATATGAAAGAATCGCTTATTTGAAGATTCGATATTTAAAATTTGCTGAGAGTAAAGCTTAAACTTCTTTGGTTCTGTAAGCAGCAAAATTAAATGATCTTAGGTGATATGAAAGTATGATTTGCTTTACCCGACTTCTGGTCTATTAAGCAATACTCGTCGCGATGTGAATGTGATCGAGCAATGGCAAAATCGTAAACACGTCCCATTTGCATGTCCTACTTGTAAAAATTAAAGGAAATATAAACCTTTTTACTTCTTAATATTTTGCACGAAAATAACAACTTAATGCCCTAGACTAGCGGTAAATTAATACGTGATAGCAATTTGACCTCATGCAGCGGCACTTCAATAGCAGTTTCTAGATTTTCCGGTGAAAAAATCTTTAATTTCTGTAAGATAAAATTTTAGTTCATAAAATAACGTTCTGTCAAAATAACAGCATTTTGTAATGAATACTTTATATTGCAGCTGAAATCAGGTAATAGATAACTATCAAGTGTTTTTAGTTTGTATTTACCTTAGCTCCCGGACCTCCAGCGCAAATTAATACCGTCGACTAAAAATTCGAAAATTACATTTAAAAATGCTACAGTATTGAGAATGCTAGGCTTATTTAGCTGCAATTAATAGGATAGTATGTCTTTAAATTTTTACATCGCTTTGCTCCTTTCGAAGAGTGGCTTTGATATCTTTCAACTTGACATCATGGACGTGAGAAGCAACCTGAGGGATAGGTAAAATATTAAGGGTAATATTTTTCTAGCTAAATGTGTCATATTCTTGTAATCTACCGAACAATAAATTTTACCTGCCATACTACTGACATTACAGACATGATGGAGCGCTTGGAAAATTCTGTTGGATTATTGACTTGATGCATTACAACTCCAACCTAACCGAAGCGAAATGTACTACAAGGTTAAGCAATCTTAATTGTTTAGCAGCCAAGGTAGCGATCAAAAAAAGTTAAATTTCGATAAAGTGCATTAGCGTTGTTAATACTATGATTTAGCAATCTATGTATGCTTCATACCAAATGATTCAGTAAAAAATGAGCTGCAGCCTGAGGTAGATAAGGTAAGCAAAGCAAAAGCTTACGAATGGATTGCAGTAGTAAATCCTAAATTGAAAACAGCGAGAGCAAACTTTTAATGAAACAGTATTTATGAGCACTTGTAGGTTGGAAATGCTATCTTTTGTAGAGACATTGTAGTCACGACACCTTTGGTACCAGTGTGAGTAATTGTGAAATAGCTTTACCTGAGAACCACGATCCAACAAATTTTCGATAAAATGTCGAAAAAACAGCGATGGTTCTTCAACCAGACAAGACCATATTACTTGCAAGCTAGTTTTCATAACTACGTCGATAAATCAAAGCGGTACGTCAGCTATAAATTTGTAATTAAGGCAGCGAAAGGACTTCTTGAACGTTATATCAATAATTCAATTATAACTGAAGTAATTGAATAAAAGTTTACCAGATACGCCGTTAAAATCCGTAGCAGCATTTTCCAGGCATGCTATTAAATCAATTACCGAAGCAGTGAGCGAAGGAGGAAAGAAAGGTTGTTGCATGATTCGATTGTATTCCTTATCTTGCCCTTCGGTTTCTGGTTTATAGTATTAGAATAAACAACATTACATTCATAGCAAGGATAATATCACCACGCAAACTATTTAAACATAAGTTCTTGGAATAAATGACGATACTGCGGCTAACCTTCGCCTTCGTCTTGGTTACAGGCGTGCGATATCAGCGGTATGGAGAGCAATTTATAGTTTTCTCTCTGATTTGCTTTCATTTGTGCTATTTCTTTTTCTTTTTTTTCTCTTCTTTGAGAGATTACTTCAGTTCGGTAACCAACTATGGAAAGCTAAAGTAATAGATTAAGAAAAGTACATGAAGTTGTTTAAAAAGCTTGATAGGGTAATAGAATTCGCTGCATCCTTCTTAATGACATTGATTCTGCGGATAAATGATTTGTGATTACACCAGTCCAACTGCTCTATCATTACGAATTTGAATCACAATTATTCAAAAGTTACCTTATCATCCAGGTCTCCAGGATTTCTGTAGTGTGATGCAAAAACCCACGAAATATCTGGCACAGCTTGCGCTGGTAGACCCAAGGCAGGAGAAGGTAAAGTAAATTTAACACGTGGTGGCCCGAACTAGAGTTTAAAAAAAATAGCGATAGAAAGTAAAAATAGCAACCATCATTTATTCTTCTGAACAATACATTCTCCACTACCTTAAAATATTTATAAGCGGCATGCGGAAGCTTAGGAGACATATTATATCGATTCCTCCATAAGATGCTAAACCTAAATGAAAAGGTAGAGTTATAACGTAACTTAAATTATATTTATGAAACGATAAACTTAATAATTTAAAATTTCAGGCAATAGTACTTTTGTACAAACCTTTGGATACATTTAACGATACGTGAAGCATCTTTTGAGTTAAATTCGCCTCGAAGGAGTTCTTGCACATATTCCTCTTTCCTGGAAGAGGCCAAGAGGAAAACTGTAGCTAGAATTGAAGAAAGGAAGGCAGATTATTATAAGGAGTCGATGAAATATGAGACATGGGAGATTTGGTTTTAACTATATTACTTACAAGCAACAGACGATAATTTTAATTCCGATTCTAACAGCAATTGCCATGTTACAGGAATAAGGCTTTCATAGGTTGAATCAGGCAAAGTTGCTGCAGCAGTTGACATGACTGAAAATGGTGAGCAAGCAATGCAAGACATCTAGGAATTGTAAAAATTCATCATTAGCGAAATATAATTAACAATTGCCACGAATCGAGTAATAAAAAATAGGCAAATGCATGTAGTTAAATAAAGTCTAATATAGCTCGAACATGAACCACTTACATCTTTATCTAAGTAAGTTAAAAACGGAGTTAATCTTTTATTTGATGAAGTAAAATTTTCATATGGACTCTTGCTTGATGTCAAAATGGCAATAAATAACTCATCGGGTATATGAATTCGACTGCAAACTAGCTTCATGATGTTCGAAAGTTGGTAGCAACAATCGGTCTGAAAGCGATGACAGCTAACATAACATTTACTGTTACCTTGCTGCAAACATTTGCAGCTGAAGTCTTTATCTGTGCATAGCTGTAGAACTGACCGAATCCAAGGGAACGAATCAATATCAAAATTAGATTTTACTGTTGGGGATGTTGGCTCATTATCCTCTGATTGTTCGAATTTTCTTGCTGTATGGATGAGTCTTTGTCGGAATGAATTGCTTATCGTGGATCCTTTACTGGTTTTACGGACTCTAGTTGACATAAAACGTCGTCTATTTTCTACACCACCCAGTTCCGCAGATATGGTTCTGTCTAGAGGCGACTGCCTTCTCCTCTTTGTGCTCCTACGTTTAAAAATACTGCTATCATCATCCTTTGCTTCTACTTCTACTTCTGCAGCTGCCATACTTGATTTTTTACGCCATGATTTAGAAATGCTAGTACGCCCGCCATGCATGCGCGGTGAATAAATACTTGTTGATATGCCATAGACCACAGTCCTAGCCAATTTCACTGAAGAATGTCTCCTTTCAAATAAATTGGCAGGGGCACCTTTAACACTTGCACTTGGGCTTTTAATAGGTTTTCGGTCATCAAAACTTTGACTCGACACTTTAAGCGGGCTGTCATCATCATTTATTTCAACATTGGACGTCCTTCTTGAGCGTGGAGAGGAATTTGCACTGCTAGCTCTGGATTTTTGCTGATATAAAATTCAAATGGAAATTCTTAAGTCAATTATCGCTACATAATCTAATCTCTATATACGATATTCGAAATAGATTTTAATTTATTTGGAGTAAAACTATGGTACTAACTCGAATAGTCCTCCTTCGTCTCTTGAAACCGACAGTCTGCTTAACACTTGCTCTGCTACTACGAGGCTCCTCTCTCCTAGGCGATATGTAGTTATCGATTTTTGTCTTCACACTTGGATTTTCCACAAAAAATGCCGTAATTTCATAGATTAATTGGCAAGCAACGAGCTTCAATGAATAGGGACAAGAGGTGGTGATCTCAACTGTAATCCCGGATTCATTTAAGGAATGTATGAAAATAATTTGTATTGAATAAAAGATGACACTATAAACATTTTTAAGTTAGCTCAAAGATGGTCTTGCTAATTTTTTTATAGCTTAATGATCGAGAATAAGAGCTTACAAGGTTCAAAATGGGCTTCTGCACTGTTATGTTTTGCAATTGTTTCACTTTCGTGTAACTCCCTTAATTTATTGCCGATGGCAACACCCCATTGATAAAATGATTCAGCTACTGCTTGCTTATGACGAGCGTTTCGCCGTTTAACAGCTGTAGTCGAACGACCTATACAATTTCAATGATCATGACTATTAGTAAAGCATTATAAAATATTCTTTTAATTACTGTATGCTATGTTTAAATATCTAGGTTACATTTCATTTAGTTAACGAATTTTAAACTCTTACTTACCTTGTAAATAATTTCTCGTCATCCATGTGGGCCATTCGTTATGACGGCATCGATTCACAAGATGAGCAAGTTGAGCAAAAATAAGAGCCCTCGCAACAATCGGTGATTTCTATTCAGAAATTTTATAATCGTTTTTGTATATGTGTTGCTATTACTAAAACGGTCTAACAGAATTTATTGACTATAGCATTGTATTGTATGCTATGCATAGCAACATCAGTCATTTTTAAAATATTTAGTGATACATATTTAAGCGGATAACATATTAGCTTTAAATTTATTGGAATCATTAATGTAGTAGGCATGAAATTTAAGATTGATATAGATGATAAGCATAATGAGTCACTTACGACATACCAGATTGAATATGGCAGTTAACAAAGCGGGGCTAGGCACAGAGCCTGGTTGGGAGCATTCAATTAAAAAGGAAAAATCCAAAACTCCACAATTTAAATTTTCTAAATATTTCTTAATTTCCATTGCTTGAATACTAGCACTTGAGTTAGCGTAAGCAGAACCTTCTTCGGATAAAATGCCTATTCCAGGGGTGATTGAGGTAAAATTTGTTTTATAGTAATTAGCGAATATACCTTTACGTTATTAGTTTCGATTCACATGAGAATATGAATTATCAGCCTGTAATTCGTGAATTTAAATGAAACTAGTAGAAGGCATCCGGCATTATTTATAAGGAATTGGTAACATAATAATAAATGAATACAATTCGTTGCATAGGACTTAACTGGATTCTCGGCGTAATTTTTTGGCCTTTTGACCTAACTTAAGGAAGGATAAGTGCTTTTTCCACACAGATGCACCAGTATTTCTGCTGTGGATTCTTTCAGCTGCATAGTCATTACGGCTTTTACTTGCTGTTAAAATAATAATAAAGCCTTTATATTAATTTATATCTTTATATATAGCTAAGCTTAATCCTATAAATAATTTTATTGTTGTAGTTTATTTGCATTATGAAATAGAAATACCATATGTAGCCGATGATTGAGTACTTCTATCCGTCATTGGCTGTTCCGTAATCTCTCCAGTGTCCTGGATAACGGAACTACTGGCAGTATTGCTAGATGGTAAATGACTCGGCGATATTTCACCTCTACTTCCTTTATTCATTTTTGTATCCGCTAACACATATTAGCAAATAGTTAAAATATTATAATCACGCAGTCTATTAAGCACTGTATCACAATCATTTTAATTACGGCAATACTAAGTGTATATCATTAGCAAGATTCGCGTAAATTTCATATGCGAATGTGCAGTAAAAAATAGCAATAATTATATGATGCATCATTAGTACTTTATCAAGGATATAATAGCTAATGAGCCTCATGTCAACGATAAGCTACTCACACATACATCTTTCTTTGAAACTTGATGTTAGTAACTTCTTTAATAAGCTTCTTGGTTTATGTACGGCTGATGAATCAGCATTGCCGGAAAATGATGATGAACAAGAGACAGTAAAATCACTGTCTGATGAAGGAACAGAATCTGAGCAAGGTACGCTACTGCTAAAGAGCCCAGGTGATCGATTCGATAATTTACAAGACTTGACAAGAATGGTTAGAACAATCCGTGAATAAACGTCCGGATATTCATGGCTAATATGTCGCAGTAATTGGCGAATTTCTCCTGAGAGTGTCTATTATTCAAAGTATGGAAAGTCATTATTTCATGTTAATAGAAGCAACGAGATTACATTTCGTCAGCCTATAATGGCTGAGGTGGACGGAAGTTTTACTAAATGCCTTTATTTTAAAAGCATATTGCCAAGTAGAAAGATATCATATGAGTACAATTTTATTAAAATAAATAAAACATTCGAGAATAACATTTAATTCTTACTAATGACATAATAATACTAACCGCATTTCGATGAGTGGCATTATCAAATTGTTGGCATTGATGCAAAAATGTCTGTAATGTCGATAGGAGCAAATAGTTTTCTATTGAACCTAAATTTTGGCTGTTCATAGGATGTACCATGTCATTACCTGTGCCACTTTCTGCACAGCAAAATCCCAATAAAGCATGATAGAAATCTAGAGTATCTTGTATTGCATTATTGACGATAAAATTTCTCAGGCAAGCGGTAAAAAATACCTTACTTGTGTTACGTAATCGTATCAGTATATCAATAGTTTGGGATCGTAGTTTATCGCCATGTGTGCCTCGGATGCCCTCGCCACAACCATACTGGCAACCAAGATGTTTAAATACATTGACGACGAGAATTAAAATAGAATTATAAATCTCATATGCTTGACCGACTTGTTGAAGAGCCTCATGGCTTAAATCTGATTTACTAGACGATTCTTTTCCCATGTATACGGCTAACATGTCCTGTAATTGCTTTCCTTTTTCCTGGCTAGTATAATGTTCTAGGCACTTCCAGGGTAAAAAATTAGAATCTATAACAGTTAAGGTATAAGCGCAAATTAAATCACATAATCTAGGGTTTGCTCGACCCCTGACGATGTGGCAGAATGCATTTGAAATATTAGCACGATAGAGATCATAGGCTTCCTTAGATGCCGAATCAACATCATCGATATCACTACTGCTTCCTGCTTCACTATTTCCACAGCTAATGTCATTCACGGCTAATTGATGTAACATTAAGGGATTACATGTGAGGTTGGTCGTTTGCGTATTCTCTTTACCGGAGCGGTGATCTAAACTTCGTTGCTGGTGTTGAAGGACATGACGCTTAGTATTGCGCATTCGAGAACAAGAGGCTGAGCGCGCTTCTCGAATATTATCACTATCTGCTAGCAATTGCTGAGACATTGAATTGATAGAGTAGGTTAGCTGTTGCTGCAAATAAATAATAGCCCAAGTAATACCTTGTTCTGACCAATTTGAGGAAGTTAAACATCGCACTACAGCAGTATCAAAATTAGTCACCATTTTATGTTGTAATAATGGATTCTGATTAATAGACTGGCCGGTAAAAGCGGGTACCTCTGGTGCTTGATGATGTCTCAACGCTTTCCAAATTCTAATACCTTTTTCTAGTCTAAATGTTAAGTCCGCATCTCTAAGATTGTAAGCATGGGGCACCATTAATTGAACAAATAATTGGATCACCTCCATGGATAAAATACATTCAGTACTGCATTCACTTCGAGCATCCAGCAAAATCCAGTGTAAGGTGTACATTAATTTAGTTTCAGCGATGTTCATTCTATCAAACTGATTTCGATTCGCTAGCATGGCGGAGCAACAACGTATAACATGAGGCGTAGCGGCCGCCACAAAATCCCATCTCGATATTGATGAGATTGCCTTGATGAGTCCATCTGGTAAACCACATATTTTATTCTCGCAAATTATTCTTTCTAATATCTATTATGGAACAATCAAATCATATGAGTTTAAAACTAGATGTTTGAAATCTAAATCATACGCGCTTGAACAGGCAATGCCGATAGAGCAATATTCATTAGAATTTTACTTCCACATCAATACGTTATTGCAGCAACTATTTTTCCATCAAGGTTGGCAATTTAATGCACAGCGAATGTTGCGGAACTTTCATTAAACTGCTTATCTTTCGCTCAAGTATATTATTATCGACATAAAAGTTTGAATTTTTACAGAGGGAATCAGTGAAATATGCCGCTTTTTAGAATTCTGCTGTAGTTTTATTCCACTAACTTGCATATATGATCCGTGACTATTAAAATTTTGGACATTATAGCATGATTCAAGAATAGTTAATATGGTTGCAATTATGTAGATTTTGATAGTGAATGTATCATAATGTCACATGAACACAAATAAGACTGAGGATGCTGTTGATAACTGCTTAGATTTATATTTGCCTGTCAGTAACGTAAATTAAGAGTATTTTATTTTGAGTCTTCCACACAATTAAAAATTATTAGTTTTCCTATTTTATTGCATGGTAATTATTATTGTCGTAGTTGGTATCCAGATTTGATTCTTCCTAATAACTATTACGTTAGTACCTTAGACAGATTAATGTTCTCGAATATTCACTTACTTTTCGTGGATTGCTTAACTATCCATCAAGATTATGTATTACAATTAAAACAAGAGTGGCGAGAAAGACTACTATAGTCTTCTTTTAGTAGTATATGGGCCAAGATTAGAGTTATAGATTAGAGTTCAATAACTAAGTGATGAATACTAAAATGTTATCAAATAAAAGTCTAGTATTCATAATTTTTAAGGATCGAATACTTGCCATCTTATACAACTTATTTTAAGTCAGAGCATTGCCTTTATTGGCAATTTTCATCAAAATATTATATCAATAGTAAGAGAATTACTTACCACGCATATTCCATCACAGTTTTTACCCAGTTTTGGCCTCATAAATGGGCTATCGCGTTCCATTGAAGAGATATATGATAGGTGAGCATAGAATCATTGATGGTAGAAAACAAAGATATAGATTGTCAATAGAGAAAATGACGCCCAAATTCAATTTGTTAAAGATGTTCTATCCGACTATAATAGGTCTACCGGTAATATTAAAGGAGTATTAAAGTAGTTTTAACAATTATAACTTGGTCGATTTCAGGAACAGAGGTAAATAGTGAAAGTATAACATGCTGCTGTTACCAACAAATGGATATTCAAAGAATATGTCATATCAACATTGAAGTGGATTTGCACTTTTCCACATAGAATAAAAAAATGATAAGCCAATTATTGTAGCGTCATTAAATTAAACCATTTTAAAATATTTCGATATGGAGGGATTTAACTTAGCAGTTGGCTTTCGGAGACTAATTTTCGAATCCTAGATTTTCTCAATGAGAGTCTAATCTCGATTATAGTATGAAGATACTGTCAGATTCTATTTGTGATGAGTGTAAATTTTCAGACGTTTCTAACTATGAAAGTTCACATAGTCTTTGCACGATAATAAGTAATCTAGACTGCTTTATATAAATTCATTCCGAATGAATTCTATTGGTTACCATCACGCTATTAGTCATGATCGAAATAGTAAAGCATGAAATGCAAGAGTTAGGATAGAGACTTGACTTCTTAATCTAAGCAAAAATCATGATCTTTGTTCTGTGCAATCGTCAATTTATTAACGATGAGAATTATTTTCCTATCGTATTCTTCAATATCACACTGTATTTGCTATTTTCTAATTTGGTTTATTTAAGAGTCAATTAGACCGAAGTTTAAAGTGTGTGAGGGATAACTTTAAATCAGAGTTGGATAGCTTATTTTATAGGCCTACCTTTGTAATTTCCAGAAATAATTCTGTATGACCAAAGGAACATGATTGACTTCCTTTGCAGCCATTGATAGGTGATTCGATTTATCCTTGTACTTTCTTATCGATTTAAAGCTATAGATTGGATTCAAATAAATAGTATTATTATGTAAGCTGACTTTTCACTTATTACTTTCTATGAAGAAAAAAATATTCCATTATTTGCCTTTCTATTGTCTCAATTTGAGTCACAATCAATAGCTTAGTAGATCAGGAACACTATCGTCATGCTTAACCTTGCTTCGTTCTATAGAGGATAAGGCATAGGCTAGTTATACATATTCTAAATCGCTCTCTCTATAGCAACAACATACGTATTTTCTACATGAAAATTTTATCCAATGATTAAAATGATACGTGTCTTGCACTAGGTTATCGTATTTTGGATCTAAAGTTCACTGAATAGATGAAGAAGGGTCGCATAAAAACGCACCTTCGTTTAGTGGACTATGTTGAAAGCAATCTTCGTTTTCATATTGGTTAGTGATCATTGTAGAGACAATGTTGGCAACGTTAGTGAGATGATATGGATTAATTTCTGTCGTTATAAGCGCAATACATAGTGTCGATCAATAGAGAATCACAAATACCCACCATTATCATCACGAGTGATCAATGGCAGATTTCTATTGACTATTCGATCTTAATCGATGAAGAATAGTTGTCATTGGCTCTCTCTTCGAAATCACATGATGTATCTTTCCGCACCTGTGTTTATTTATTATGCCGAGTTGATTAATATTGTATTTATTAACATATCAATTCAATTTTCGATCATACCGTATAATTACTATCACTGATGTTTCAATAACATATAGAAATATTGAATTTATGAATTAATGCAATCTGTAAAATTATACCGGCAGGTGATAGAACTCATATAAAAGTATATCCTCGTTGACTTATTACAGTAATGAAGTATCGGATTGTAGTGGCTTACTAATGTTATAGGTAGGCGCTAGTCGTGCAGGCAGAATTGCCTAATACGAGAATATAGCAAAAAGAAAGAAACTATGAATATGACACTGGTCGTAAAAATTAATGCCATTTCCGCAGCACTGCCATGAATGAATGATACGCATATAGTCGGTATGACAGAACGTAATCATGTTTAGGAAGCAATTTAACTACTCAAGGATGGCACTCTCAGCCTTTCTGTAGTCTGTAACTACTCATTTTGCAACGCTATGATGATCCTAAATTGAAACAACCAGGCAGTCCAACATAATCGATTCAATATATATACTGTAAGTGGTCAGGATCGAGAAATTGGATCAGCTCTTTCAATATTTTTTAGAAACTGCGATGGTATATCAGAGATTCTTGTTGTGAATCACTATAACTTTATTGCGTACAGATTGGACTGATTGCGCTAGGCTGTTCTTGAATTGAGAGCCTGGATGGCATCGTCCGTATATAGTATATGTACGCGTGTGTCCGATATATGCATGATTGTATAAGACAAATTTAAATTAAATTATCATGCTGGAAGCGGCAATTTTAGGATAACGCCAGTTCGCCGGTAGCAAGCCTTACTAAGTGCATTTAGATAAGAATAAAATTCAGCTAACACTACCATTATGATCCAGTAGCCCTTAAGCGCAAAAAAAAAATGGAAAATCTGAATTCATGGAGGTAAAAGTAAAAGCTTTTTCTTTTACCTCTCAATATCATAATCGAAATTTGTAACCTTGGAGATAAGGCTGACAGTATCAGATTGACTTTTGTGAATGTTTTTGGCAACTAGCTACTGCATTCTTTTTGTTAAGTACATACAGTACTGTACTGTGAGTATTTCATTGCAGTAACTGCAGCAAGCGACCAAACGAGAAAACACTCACTAAGATCTCAGTACTGAACTCCTTTACATCAGTCCATTTCAACGCATCTACGCTTAAACACAAATTCATTGAAGAGATTTCTGTTTTTAACAATAACAGATCGGACTTTTGACAAGGACGAACATAACATTTTAAAAGAGAGTGACTGCTAAAGAGCTAACGAGTGTTTGCTACAGTTCATATTTACGTATTAATGTCAATATTCGTATACTATGCTTTTATGTACGCAGCAGGAGAATCTACGACAAAGAAACAGATAGATTGTTTAATGAAATCGACTTAAATCTATGCTACTGACTACGAAACAAAAAATGGATTTCTTCAAAATTTTACTACAGCACTGCGCTTCGATCTTGCTTACAGTATAACTCAACAGAGACCTTCCTCCTCCGTTGTCTGAGTCTCTGATTGCATTCTAGCTTTGTAGTCCGTTTACAGTGTTCACTCAACTTCACTGTACTGTACGGTACAATAGACCATAAGAGAGGGGGTAAGCAACAAACTTTTGCTTTTCTCGTGTGGTCTACTCACTCGACTGTAGATTCACGTTCTATACAGTACATCTTCTACAGTACGAAGCGTCACTACAGTCTTTCTGCACAATACACTGTACTGTACTATCTTCTACTGTACAGTGTACAGTATGTGGAACACGGTACTTTACGGTACTGTACACTCAGTGTACAGTACTGTACTATACAGTACGGTAAGCGTTGCTATCGATTATCTTACAGCTCTTTAATTTACATACTGCATACAGTACAGTAAAAGAAAGAAAAATCCTCAAGTCTTCAATACAGTTAGCGTAAAATTATAATGTAATTACATGACCGATAGTAAGCGCTGATCGTGTTATGTAAACATTTTTCACGTTCAGCAAGGGTGGAAGTATTTTCATGGTCAGATCTTGATGAACATGCCCTCCACGTAATTTTACAGTCCAACCGTTAGTCATTGGGTAGAAGGTGTAAAATGACTTCAGCTGAAAACACTCCTATCTTAATGATAGAGCAGTGTGGCCACTGCGAATCTTCCAAGTTGATATTTCGAATGACTGCAAGTCACGGCAGATCCAAGTTTCTATGCGGATGTTGTGTTTTCAAGCACAAACCATTGCTCCTCAAGTCGTTCTTAACGGCGATTGTTGTTGGCACAATTTTAGTTTCGATTAATGCTGGGAATAAAATTTTTATCGGTCAATTCCCCAACGATCTTTATTGGAAGATCCCTCTAACTTACTGCGTACCGTTCCTGGTAGCAACCTGGGGAGCACTCATTAACTCCAAAATTTCAACAGAAGTTTATCTCGGTCTTAATAGTAACAATCCAGAGACGGATCCGAATGGCAAGAAGGGTAATGTGCCAACTATTTCTACGATATAAACTGGTGCAATCCCTTCAATTTGACTGAAACAGTGGGATTTCAAGCCTGGACTAAAATGGACAGTTGCACGATACCATGCAGTACTGTACTGTACAAGCAGTCATTATTCAGACTTGGAGCGAATTGTTCCTAAAGTTTAGTCTTGTCAGTTCCATTTATTTGACTAGGTATTTAGCTGTTGGGTATCTGAAACTATCGCTGGCAGTATATTAAATTATGACTTCGAAATATACTGTACCTTGCTACTGGAACTGATTGCAACTTTTAATTATTTGATTTACAGTACTTACACTAAGTCGATATGATAAAAATAGCTTTACGTAGATAATTAATTAATCAGATTACGCAAAGTTTACTACTTTTATTCTACTAGCGATCCTCAGTTTCAGACCAGGTCTAGTTTCAGTACTTCAGATTTATTTGATAGGTAATAGTTGAATCGAAAATCTGACGTAGCTAAACTTGCTGAATTAGAGTTGCAGTATCCGCTTCCTCATTTTTCTAAGTTACAGCATGCATTTTGAGATGGAAGCTGGGTTCATAATATAAAATACTGTCTTCAGTCATGGTACATATCTGTTATCTAGACAATTTAGTATTTTGTAGCATCAACTTCTGCTAATATCCTTCATTTTGTTTATCAATACTTGCATTGTTCTCCTGCTGCGATGCACTGTTAGGTCGTTTAATTGCAGTATTTATATTCTATAAATCAATAATAGCACTGACCATTATCGACTATCTTGAGGTATCTGCTACGCAATATTGTTTATTTGACAAGAAAGCTATCATAGTTATGGGAATTGAAAAATTGTTTATTTTTATATGGCAAATACTAATCGCCTTTATTTCGAACTTAATCAATTTGTCACAGTTCGAAACTAAGCAAGGCAAATAATACAGAAATTTAATAAACAAACTTTGCTTCTACGAGCAAGTAACTTACACAAATACAAGTATAAGTTTATTGACAACCTCGATCAAAAATTAGCAGCCATTCTACGTGATGACTAAGTTCAAAAAAATTAATCTTCCTCGTATTCAAAAGGCTCAGGTGGTTCCGCTTCTTCCTCTTCGTCTATACTACGAATATTAACATCTATTGATAATGATAAGAAATGATAACACTTTTATAGCCTAATCTACAAACGCCAGAAATTTATAAAATATCAATAAAACCTGGTAAAGGTTCTAATGTTTCTTGGCTCTCGCCAGGTGTTAGATCCTTCATCATGACAATTCCTCCTTTATTACTCTATAAGATACAGGCATAATGATTTAACTCTTAAAAATTTGCAAGCATAAGAAAGTTTGCTCAATACGTCAGTCTAATGCTTAATACTTACTTTCTTTAAAGGAGCATAGCGGTCAGTTTTAGGAAATTCGATGTATTTCAACTAATGACAACATAAATTACGATCAATTTCCAAGAATGGATCGTGTAATAGGCCTCAATGTTTAAGTATCATCATGTTTAATCAATTTTTTTAACCTGTGCCGGAAGTACACGTGCTGGATTAGGTAACAACTCCCAGTCTAATTCCTTCTCTACGGGTTTAGCCTCAGTTTTCGATGGCGTATCCTAATATGTATTAAATACAATTGTTACATACGGCCAATTTTTAATCATTAACTTTTTCAACAACATTAAATAGTATTAAACATACAACTTCCATGGGTTCTTCGGTTTTTCTTTCACTTTTTATTGCACTTTTGATATCTTCTCCTCTCTTTGCTCTCGCTAAAGCCTTCGCTGTTGTCGATAAAATCGCGGTAGGTATCTAAAGAAGTTTTCCTTATAGTCAATACATCACAAAATGCAATACTGTTCCGTATGAAAGTACTTAAGTTATTCGAACCTTTCCTTTCGGCTTTTCTTTTGATGGTTGTATATAAGGGATGTAACCAAACACGGAAGGCTTACAATTGGATTTGAAATCGACTTTAAGCATCTATATTAACCGGATAAGTTAACCTGTTACTTTAGTTGTAAACCCAAAATTACGGTCTTCCACTTTTACCTGTAAGTTAGAATTTAATGCAATAACGGTAGCTGGTGTAAACGCTAAGGACAGGAAATGACAATACGGGAACCAAAACCAGAACTGACTAAAAACCAGGAGCCCAACTACAGACTCAGTTCTGACATGCCCAGATCTTGTTAGGAGAGATATCGTAGCGTTACGTCCACCTGTTTGAATGAATAAAATAGTTATAATCATAGAAATTAAAAAAAACAATACTGTTATTTTTAATTATTACTGTTGCGTAACCTGCATCAATAATGCCTTGAGCTATAATAGCACCAAACTTCGCTAAGCTATCCTCATGTTTGTCGGCAATGACTTTTGTAAAGTATTCCCTTACGGTTGGAGCCTAGTCATTTATACAAGTTATTCAACATTAACTTATTCCTATAAGACATCTGTATGTTATTTACACATACTTTAGAATTTGTGGCTTCTGTTTGCTGTATGAGAACCATCGAAATAGCAACAAGAGCTCCCTAATAAAACAACGAATCATCATTACTCACTACAGAACCAGAGACAGCCATGAAATATCAGCAAACGATTACCTGGCGAACAAAGTTTACGGAATCGTGCATCATGGGCTCAAGAATATTTACAGCCTCCTGTATTTAATTAAAAGATGCGTTGAAGCTAACATCATAATTTTTATACATTTTAGCATTTTTTGTACCTTCAAACCAGTTCCAGCACATGATATACCAAGTGCCATAGCCGCTCCATATCGAACGTGAGGATTGTAACTCTCTGCTAACAAAGACACTACGCTAGGGCATTGCTCCGGAGATCTAGATAATTTGTTAAAACATTACATAGGAGCAAGCATTGGGGGCTAAAGTTATCTAGCAACTTAATAATCTAAAAACGAACAGCTAACCTAACAAGCACAAATCCGATAGATACAACAGCAGCTCTCCGAACATCGCTGTTAACATCGCTAACCTAGAACAATAATACAGCAGAGAACATGCTAGATCAATATGTGCAGTTAGTCGATATATCAACAATTACATAACGCGGTAAACAGAATAAATAGGCAACCAACAAATTGTTACCAATAGCTACTATACTTACAGCAACCCTCAATAGCTGTCGAATTGCTTTGTTGCTCCCACTACCACAGTATGCCATACCAATAGTATACATTCCGGAGCAACGCAAATTAGAATTCTGTAATTCATGCGTTATAGTTTAATGTTTCTTTACAACGATAATTTTTGTATCTACAATACCACAGTTTTAATACTGTTACATCAAGACATACCTCATCTCCACAAAGTGTTTCAATGACGATATCAGCCTCTTCTAGACAACCGTACATAATCTGTAAAGCAATATTTCATAAGATTTGTACCGTGCATCACTAAATTACATCCAATATTTAAGCGTACAAGTGCAATCCCCAGCGCTAGGCCCCTTTCTATTTTTTCATGATCTGTTTCTTTCAAGTACTAAAAGCAAGCGTACGAAGGCGAAATTTTAATATCTTGTAATGTATTGTCTTTCAAACCATTAGGTCACAGCTAACATCATCTGACAAAATATTAATTTCTACGCAATGTACCGTTATCATCTTTTCCAGTGGTTCCGGAGATTTCCTCCCAATCAAAACTAGACCCATCGCTAACCCTGAAGCCTCACCTATTATAAATATGGCGCAGTAGTGATCCAGTTACATAGATAATGAGGGCAGTACTGATAGTACATAACATTATAAAGACTTACCTGTTACGGCTTCATCGTGAATCATACAATCGTATAAATCATCATATATATCTGTATGATAAAATCCATGACGATGAAAATTAGCAAATATAGCCGCGACCAAAATAATAAACGACATACATACCTTGATTAGCAGTGCCTAATGCAGCCAAACCGAGCGCTAGGCAAGCACCATGTCGAATTGGCTATTTATTATTAAAAATTTATGAAAGCATTACGATGTAGTAATAATTATAACAGTGATAAAAATAAGTAACTTAGGATCACTCTTACCTGACTAGCAGCTTCTTTTAGTTGATTACGAAGGTAGGAAAGGATTCCATGACCGTGATTAGCATGAATTAATCCTATAACATCAAAATACGAATTTTACCGAACAAGGTCATTATTAAGTCGGATATTACTACCATACAATTAATTTAAATTTGCTTAAAGAATGCTGAATAGTACAATGCAACCCACCCAAAGCATATAATGCTCCACCAGACTGCATTCCATTACTGGAAGTGTTATCTTTCGGTAAATAATGTGACATAAGCTTGATAGAGTTCTTTTCGTTACCCTGATAATTTTCATTTGAAATCAATGTTACAACGCCTTTAATTCCATTTCAATTACCGTAATGCTGGAAATTACAAAGAAAATACTGTACCTTATGAATAACACCTAAACTAGCTGTGGCTGTAAACTTGGCCCAATTTGCCGCACGACCCAACCAATCCAAGTTGTCTCTGATATTAAATCATATTATAAACAATTTTATATTGAATTCTGCAAGTCAATACATACGCCTGAGTTAAAAGTAGAAGCTATAGTTCACCTTAAAAATGTATCTGACATGGTACCATAATGCATGAACGCGTTCGCTATAACAGTGGCTGTGTGAGCCATTCCATTCCGTGCGTAGTCCTTTACATTTTGATACAATTACAAATTTAATCATTGAAAACACTTATAGATTATTTATTACGCAAAAAATTTATTCAATCCATTTCCATGTTACCTTAGTAATCTTAAGTATTTGCATATCGGAACGATTTTTCCGAAATAAAAATTCTGACATCAACTTTATGGTAATGTCACCTCGTAATATTTCCAAAATTTTATCCATATTGCTATGTTCAGATGACGATTGCGTCCTGTTTTCCTCATTCGAATCTGATTTTTGATTGTCTGCCTTAGACTCGTTGGTTTGTTCTGCAGAGGGACTATCCGTATTTTCGACGTTGCTACAGTTGTAGCACATAAAATTAATAATCAGCACTTTCGTTTATATTTATGCTTGAATTAATTTTGCAAAATACTTACTTTTCAACTTCCATTGTATTGTTCGCATCTAGAGTTGTTTTGAATTCTTTCAGAATTTTTGATAAGAGCTGCTGAGATGCGTTCTCAACTAAGTCAAACGCAATTTGATACGCAGACAGTACGTCATCCTAAGAATAAGTGCAAAAGTTGAACAAAATTGCAGGTACTAAGATTGTGCTCATTATAATCACAATTTTACAGTATACAAAATACCTGATTATTCGATTGGATTAACTGAGTGAGAATAGTTGATATAGACACAGGATCATCCAGATAAATTAAGCACTAGGTAGCAATAATAAGCAAACTATGATGAGTTGCTTAGCACATCTTACAGTTATTAGACTACTTCACAGGTTCGATGATTGTCACTTAGAATAGAAGCATATCTATACAGTTCTTACGAAGATACCAGTTACTAGCATTACTGCAGGATTTAAATATTTACCTGACACACGCTTAAGTAGTCGATCTTCGATGCTTGATTGTATAATCTCACAATCACTCTCAAAGCCTATTAGAACATGAAAAAAGTGGCTCAAATTAATTTCAAGTTCTCTACTAGTATTGTTTATCAGCACTTTCATAAGTAATCATGCTGCAGTCATTCACGTAAAATATCGAGTACCTCATTTCTAAACTGTCTATTTTCCAATACTGACATACAAATTTTAAAAGAGTATGCCAACATTTCTTCTACATTGTTCTGAATATATCAAAAGGATATGAAGAAATGAAGTTAACCTATTTTGGTAATGTTATCTCATTCGAAAATGATAATGATTAGCGTATTTATAGTTATACTTTCAAATTGGTTTATATCATAGAATTATGTATTAATAGCAGTAGGTGATTAAACATACAGATGAGGTTATAGCTTTTTCAAATACATCAATACGCCGAGCTTCAATAGCAATGCCAACCGCCTGGTTTACAAAGAGCTCATTAATACTGGGTGGTCATTTTAAAATGCTGGTAAACCGAATTTAAACTTTGAAGAACTAGCCTGCTTAAATTTCCCTTCTTTAAAACTTCTGGCAAACATTCTATTAACTAAGTCCTCCAAGTTAGGGTCTATTGTAATATCTTCGCTCGCCATTATCTTCACTCTTAAACCAATATAATGATCGATGCATTTGGCTAGGAGAATAGAGCAAGTTATTTCATTAGTAAAAAATTAAAATAGGTGACATACTACAACATCAATACCATCTTAATTATCAGATTATTAACATATTACTAGTAGTGAAGCATAGACTCTATCTTACATATCGTAGTATCAACATATTCGGATATAGCATTAACATCGAAAAGCGGTCCAGCACCCAAGGCGAAAGTCAATGAATCCTCATATGATCCAAGATGATAGTACACCTATCAATTTGAGCATGTTATCATTAAAACCATATCATAGGTAATTTATTTAATACTGATCACAAGTTGATAGCTTCCTTTGTCAATACGAGTAAAGAGAGTTGTGACAAACGTATTTCAGAATTTTACAAGCAAACAGCGTACCTTGGACGCAACAAGTGCCGACAATTGTCTATATTCGAATCCAGCGTCTTCATATAATACCTCACTATTATGTATTAGTTCAAGTAGAACGATAAAAAGAGATTACTGTATTTAACTTTAAGTTAAAGTTCTCTTATGGATGAAGTGAATTTTGACGGCAAAATAGAACAATTGAACATTTTGTACATACATCTTTTCAATGGAATCTGCAATTTCTGCCCAAAAATCGTCGACAACGTCATTTAATTTACTCAAAGCAAAATTCTATAGAAACAATCATCAAATAGCTAAGGTTAACAATCTATAAGTCATCCTAGAACTTAGCCGCTCACGATGCTACTTATTCATCTATGGTGTATCGTTGTACGTCAGTTATCACTTTGATGGAATTAACTACGACATATTACAGCTGTAGAATAAGACAATTTTTTGCTATTCAGTAGACATCGACGACTAACCTTTAATTGCGTATCCTCTTCTTCTAATAGGGAAATAATTCCAGCTACAAAAAAGAAATTATAAACAAAATTTGAATTACAAATTGTTAATACAGGAAATCGGATAGTAAAACAGCCAAGATGGATCGACTTTCAACGCTACCCTCAGTCACTCGAAGCCAAAAGTCGTACAGACTGTCACTCGTATCGTCTACTCTACAATGACTATACTGAGTCACTCGGACTCATTCTACTTTGACTTCCTCCTATTATCATGATCATCCTTTACCTAAGAAGCTAATCCAACTTTTAAAACATTTATTTTATTGACGATTGAAGAATAACTGGAAGCTAGTCTACCCTGTTAAAAGTAAAAGTCGTCGATTGATGGATTGGCTAATGGCCACGTCTGTGATGACTCAGAGTGAAGTCAGCGAGAATCATTGAAGCACGATAGAACTCGTACCGTACTGTAGAACTGCTTAGCGTATCTCATCTACTTTATCGCGCTAACCATCATCCATTTTTACTTTTAGTTTACAAGCAGAATGGACATACCTGCTGATGTTAGGGTCATGATTATCAAGCTTGAAGAGATTTCTTGACCAGTCAGAGAAAATGGATGGCGGATGGAAAGGAGACTTCCAGTCAATGAACTCAAGCTACCGTTGCGGATTGCACAATAGAAGAAAAGCCAACCGCAGTGGGAAAATTTGCAGGGCAAACTCGCAAAGGTTCTCCAGTACAGTACCGTCAGTAGGGAGACCGCCGTGTTGCTTCAGCACCGTTGAATGTATAGTTACAGTCCGCTTTGGTTTGCACGATTTGATGTGCTATGGTTAGCATACTGTATGTACAGTGTACAGTATGCTACGACTAGAGACTACACTACAGTGTACTGTAAACTGCGTGATTTTGCTATACTGTACTGTATCAAACCATGAAGTTCATGAACAGCTGTATTGTACTGTACTGTACAGTGTACAGTGTACAGTCATAGAGTTACAGTACTGTGCACTGTACAGTACTGTACAGTACTGTACAGTCTTAGAGTTACAGTACTGCACAGTGAGTAGAGTTTTTCTTTTTTTTTTTCCGAAAACTGCACCATAGTACTGTACAGTGTACATACTGTATGTACAGTACTGCACAATGTACAGTACCTTACATGGGCCACTGTAGTAAAATCTTGCTGGTAAGACTAGAAAGATTTTGTACTTCATAGTACTGTCATGTTCAGTACTGTACTGTACTGTACTGCACACACACTGAACACAGTAGGGTAGCGAACTGTACTGTACACTGTACAGTACACAGTAGACATTGGACCATGTCAAATGTCGATCAGCTCCTAGATCCATCAGCCTGATCAGCTTCGATAGGTTTTACTGCAGGCTAGATAACATGCCCTGATTTGCCTCTAACCAGCTCTGAATGAACGGAAACGTATCTACGATATTTCTTGATAAATTGCGGAAAATGAAGGACTACTATGGTACAGCGGTGTCGAAGATTGTCTTATCCTCCTCAACACCAAAGAAGTAGAATCATTGCCTTCTGTAGATACAGTATAACTTGGAAAAAATTGGACATGATATGCAACGACTGTAAAGATTGGTCTACGCATTATAGTCTTTGAAGGAACGAAAGGAATACTGTACCATCGAAATATTCACGAAAGACGAGTATACCGTATACCTATTCGCCACTAGTTTATGAATAATCATATCCTACCCATGATGTCTTTACCTTACTGTACTGCGCTCTAGTCTTACTGGACTGCAATGTCCACTTGTACAATGTACAGTACTCTATTACTGCAATAACGGATTCGTTACTATGACGACAAGTGATGCGAATGCAGTACAGTGCTGCGATAGAGTATCCTGTGTACAGTGTACATCGCAACAGCAAGAGAATTTACTATGCTAAATGCTATTTTCGACTTAACCAGAAAACTGTAAAACACGACCGACATCAAATCCATATGATTAAATGTATAATTATAGGCTGCACTATATCATCATAGTACAACCCCTGCATTATTACTTTGTTGATTCTTTAAGGGAATAATTAGGATACGATAGAATTAACTGGTAGCGGATAACTCAAGGCCTCAATAAATAGAATTAGTTCAATGCGGACTGGGTCCAGCTGATAGTTGATCAATGAAATAAAAATAAATAATTAAAACCCGTTTCTGCAAGAAGGTTTCTTAGTATTTCCACTTCTAACAAAAATCATCTTTCTCCAAGATTTGATTCTGACCAGTTAAGGTACTATTATCTTGTATTTTCAAGGTTTGCTGAAAGAACTGAAACACCAATTGCTGTAGGTACGGATGACGATCAATCAATATTGTAAACGATTTTCTTTGCAATTATCGCCTACTTTATGCTAAACCAATAAATATTATTCTCATAGTATGGCAGCTTTACAAGAAGAAGCTCATTCTCTTATCAATCAAATTATTGCCTCAGCTTATAAAGAATTAGAACGTGAATTTAGAAGTACCCCTTCTCCAAACTTTAAATTAGATGATGTGGAATCAACTATTTCTAGTGAAAGTCGTGCAACATATCAAGATTTTGAGCCTGCAGTAACATTACCCAACAATAACACTTTCATCGAGAAGGGACCTAATATATCATGGGCTACTTGCAACGACTTTACTATTGAAAAAGGAAAAGATCAAATAAACGAATACATTAAGGTTAAGGAGATTCATAATAAACTATAAGTGTGTGTGTGTGTTTGTGTGTATCTGTGCTTGAAAAAAGATATACATTACTATAGCAGTTTGCTTTAACCTATTTAACAGACATGGCAATACGAAAGTAATTGGCTATACTGCATTGATTTCTTGAAAGAAGATGATCACCCTTATAATAAATTATACCGATATCGCGTCTTATGGAGTATACCTACAAGGCGAAAACCCATCCCTAGAGCTACTGCTGCTGTTTATTTTACGATATGCCTAAGCGAAATAAAGCCTAAAGTGAGTTATGATGTTATACAGTACTATCCCTACAAGCCAAATTAAGAGATAGTATTTACAATTAAATAAAAACTGGAGTATTATATATTTATCAAACTATATTGACGTGCTTTTTAGGATCTGCCAGTGGAAGTCTTCTTCGTATTTGAGACTCATAAATTGGTGCACCGGTAAGTTTACAATGATAATGTCTACATAAATTAAGTACAGTACAATTTCATCTCCAGCTATATCTTTGTTTTTGTTTATGAACTGTAAATACGAGTATAGTAGTATAAATCGAGGGGCAATTGATCATATAAACGATTGTTTACTTCATCAAAATTTTAATATTCTTTGTTAGTAACTGTGATAATAAATTATGCCATTAAACTCTTGTAGGCCTGGCCAAGTGTTCTTTCGAGAAAAATGGCTAAAAGATATTATTTCCAGCAAGCTAATTTTATCGGAACAAATCAAATTTTAAATTATTCATCATTATGAAAGATTTTACGGTTTCAATGGAATCTTAACTTCTTGCAATTTACGAGTATCTTAATACATAGTATCGTAATTTCTGATATCCTAAAATTTTCTTCTGACGAAAGGCAAGACAATATTGCATAGTTCATACGTGTAAATATTTACGTTTACTGTAATGAGATAAACTAAACTTTAACTTTTCAATATATTAATCATAAAGAATATGTTCTATGCAAGTTTTTGTGAGAATCTTTATCTGCAAGAATTCTGAGTCAAACATCATATATTTCAAGCTATGGTCAGATCTATAAAACTCGTCATTAGAAATCGCGACCAGTTAATCTTTACATATTGTACTTGTTCATTATGTAGCATTATAAGTAATTATTGTTATATGGTAGATAATTATTGATTAAATGAATACATCGACGGAAAGCTGATAGCTTCACTCGCAGGTATCCTTATTACAATTTCTGAATATCATAAGACAAACTAATAAACTTCTGTTTTAGCACGATTATTGGATGCATGTTTTGATGAAATTTACTGGCTCTCTTTTATTAAGACCGTGAATATCGCAGTTTGAATGTATTGTATTTACTTATTTAGGATCAACGCAATTTGTTAGATATAGTATAAGCGTAAAAAGCCCATATCTTTTTAAGTTGCATTTAAATTCAACTTCGTAAAATTCTTTTGTTGCTAACTATGCAGATATAAGTTACGAAATTTATTTCTGCTAGGAATTATCCTTCAAGCAGATTAATACAATTGTTCTTTACTTATGCTTTTATTTTCTTAGAATAATGATAACAGTAGCTATTACCAATACTTAAAAGCAAAGCACAAGTATATTTTAAACACATCATGCTAATTGCAATGGATATAATACCAATATATCATTCCAGGATTATGGTATCATTTCAACGCCGGTAATGGCACCTACTGATGTATTTAGCAATTATATCGTAAGCACTATCCAAGTTAACATGCAAATAAACTCTAAACATTCAAAATTTTAAATGGAAGAATAAACCGATTCTTAATACAATTACACAAGTAATATATTTACTCTTAGTCTCTATTGTTCCGATCCACAATCACAGAAAGTATTGTAACGTGCTAACTGTTGCTTGACCATGAATATTAACTAAAGCTATTTAGAGCAGGGTAAAAACTTAATGAGTTCAAAGGTAAATGATAATATAATGTACATAATGAGATTTAATATGAAATAGAAAATTGTAAATAAAGTAATCTAGGTTACAGGATTAATCAATTAATGTAATTAATTGGACGATAAACTGAATATGCTCAAATCCCCGGAGTTAAACTTAACTTAATAATTTGTTTTGCAGCAAGCTACTTAATTTATATTGTCAGTATAGTGCTATTCATTACACAAAGAAGCATTCATTAGCTGATAGCTATATAGATATCCAAGAAAGTTTGTCTTGAATTCTAGTGGCTTTAGAGAGTAGCAATCTTAAAAAGATGGAATGTCCAAGTCAGCCTAATTTTTTGGTAAATTAAACAGTACTACCATCGAAGAACGAGAATTTAATTTTTGATTCTGATTAAAATCACTACTATCAATCTTGTTTCTAGCAACTCTGAATTAGTTCATCGATGGTCTGCTGTAACTTTGCGAATGTTGGACGATCTTCCGGCTTTCTTTTCCAACACGTGTTCATGATATTACAAATATCAGTTGGACAGCCACGAGGTAAAATTAATCTTTTTTCAGCAATTAAATAATCCATGATCTATTATTAGTCGTTAAGTTAGCAGAATAAAAAAGTAAACATCCGTCATTATGACTGATAATAATTTACCAGATCTATTTTTCAGAGATTACAATATTAACATATTCTACCATGAGATATATAAAACTAAACAATCGTATATACAGATTTATGCGTAGAAGATTCTAAGTAATCTACATTATCAATATTCTGCAATGCTTATTCTTACAATATCCAAAATTATACTTGATTTATATTCATAAATCCGAAAATTGCCTGTTGTATAGTTGCTAACTTATCAAAAGTTTATAATAGATTTATATTAAAGCAGTTTACTGTGCAAGTTGAATAATGATACCATTACCTCACGCACAGATGGTATATCTTTGTATGGTTGTTGCCCATCACTAAATACTTCCCATAGCAAAACACCAAAACTCCAAACATCGCTCTTACTTGTGTATACTTTGTCAAATAAAGATTCAAAAGCATACCTAAAAGAAATGAAGAATGCGGATATTAATTTATACATGTTGATATCTGAAACAAAAAAGAAGTAATTATAGTCATCGTCTGTTAGTGTAACAATTTTAACAACATACTATGCTGCTCTGTCTAAGCTAAATTAGACTTGTAAATTACATGCGCATAGAGATCATCCTAACATTAGCTAAGGTAATTTCAAAATCTAATTAACAATCAACTTTGATGACTGTCGAAAATGTGGTACTATTTACTGACCATCGAATTGGAAATAATCTATTTGCGTCTTCTTTGGCATCAGACGGGTTGTTGATATATCTATCAGTTGTACTTGCTAATCCAAAATCAGTGATTTTAACCTATTCACAGTACATATTTTCATTTAAATATATTAAACCTATCCTACAGTTTAAGTTCGCAGAAAATGAGCGTACTATGAATATTGTGTTTTTGCTAATGCCCTCATTTGATGAGAAATATCAAATGCTTACTACAGTTTCAGATTGCATGAGAATATTTCTTGCAGCTAAATCACCGTGAACAATATTTTTACTCTGAACATAAGCCATTCCTGCTGCTATTTGCTTTGCCCAGCCTAACTTAATTTCTAATGCGATGGTTATTGACTTTTCAGCACAGCTTCGAACATGATCAATCAACGATCCCATAACCACTAATTCTTGAATCTAAAATAGATTTACATTGTATTTAGAGGTGATTACTTTTACTTACAAATTGTGCAATCTGTAAATAGAGCAAAGCCGTACTTAATTTAGCTAATTATTCTTTTAATACTTTCAACTTACTAAAACGAGTGGCTGTATGGACATACCCAACAAGCGAACGATATTCGGATGATTTAAATTTAGCATAATGTTTGCTTCTTTTAATATATCCTAATATTGATTAAAAGGTATTATTATACCGTATAGTATCGAATTTATTTCCAATTAGGTAGATTTTATTGTTTTAAATGTCTTTGATTGACAGGTAAATTAGATTTACTAATCAAATCAGTTTACTAAATCGACTAGCTGTAATTAGTATGCTTACACTAGAAATGTTTGTATCTAAATCGTTCGAAAATTGTTTCATGGCAACCTTTATCTGTTTAAAGTATTGCACCAATTTAGAATGTTAGCGGCAATAATTCCATTTTCTGAATGTTAAATAACGCAAATTATACAGTAATTACGATATTTTACTTACTTTTTTCCCGTCGCCCTGATGCCAGTAAGCGGAGTATACGGTACCATACTGACCCGATCCAAGTTCGCCAAGTTTTTCCATGTCTTTGTAATTGATTAGATGAGCTGTAGATGAAGTAGGCTTTACCTAATTACGGAATAAAGACAATTGCTTAAGGGTGAGAGAAATATATGTTGCAACGTTTAGGTACAAAGGTACAGAGCAAAATGTACTAATCCTGAGGTACTAATTCAATCAAAAAGTGTGTAAGGGATATCTGGTTTGCGTAGCATCTATACTAGCACAGACTGTTATTGGATAAATTTAATGCATCAAATGTCTATCAATTAGATATATTTATAATTAAAAACCGTTAGTTTTGTTTGGATTCATAAAGTGATATTTCGTGCATACATATATTCATTGAATCTCATTACGATATCTGGATTTTATTATAACAGAAGGAAATCTCAAAATCCGATTATTGACTCTAATTATGTAATGAGTTAACATACATTATTAGATAAATTATTTTTCAGCTTAAGCGGTAAGGTATCATCCTTCCATTTCTTATAGTAATCGATCATATTAGATAAATAGCTAAACACTGGCCCATCGCGAATGGAGTATCCGTTGCCCTGCTAACAAAAAATATTTCCATAATTAGCTGTGATAAAGGACTGTATTAGTAAGTAAAATAATTTAATTAATTAATGATATTTCTTAGATATTTCATACTAAGACACTGACTACTTGATATTACACATTCGAACTTGTGAAAAGAAACATATACCGTTAAAGTTATCGGATATGAAACTATATGTGTGCCATCGCATAAAAGCAATAAGAAAGGATTGGCCGTATCAGCAACTTTAATTACGATGAAAAGTCCTTCTGTGTTTCCGTAGTCACGTATGAGGCCTTTAGCTTGCTTTATTAATAAAAATTTTCATGAAAATTAAATAATATGCGAAACACAGTATTGTACTAATATCTCATGGTTACAAAAAATTGGATAAAATAATTTATTATAAAATTATTACGGCAATATCTACTACAATTATTCACTAGTAGCTAATTACTCTAATTTAGTACATATTCTTGCATGATCAGTTAACTGATTGAATCGTAAAAATTTTACTTCATCAGAAATGTCCTGGTGCAACCAATCGCCATCCATAGTTCCAGTTTCCCTCTTACTTTCCCGGTCTACCGACAATTATTATTAATTCAATAACTTTTTTTCGCATTAAAATTTTTACGTAGTTATAATAATGTAAGACATTTACCTAGGATATTGCAACATTCTTCTCGATTCCAGAATCTCGCAATATCTAAAGGAGTTTTATTATCATATGAAGTAGCCAGTAATGGAGCTCCTCTATCCAATAATAGTTGTAAGCAATTGTGATATCCTCTCATTGCTACTTCATGAAGTGCATATCTTCCAGTAACAGGACTACGTTGGGCCAAGTTGGCTCCATCATTTAATAATTTCTGGCATATAGTCGTATGACCAACAGTTGCGGCATACTATAGTAAGATATAGAGTATACGAGTATGTTCGCATCAGAGCTAATACTATTAACAGTCATGACACGTAATCTAGTAATCTACCCGATGTCACTGTAACGAATTCAGCTAATTATAGTAGTTATAGGTTATAAACCCATACACTACAATCGTGTAGACAAATGCGATTACTGGGTTAGTAAGTAATTTAGTTCATAATAACGATTTTGTACAACTATAAATTAACTAATAAACTTCATTTATTATTTACAGTATAGAACAGTCAGAATTCTCTATCCCGTTTAGTTAACTATGTAGGCCACGTTATATGGAAGAAAATAAGCGAATAAGTAGACCTATTCACATATTTATTTTAAATGGTTTTACTTAATTTTATAGCATTAATTTTACCATTAACGGCGTATATCCTCTGATGTCTACGGCATCAACGTCGGCTTTGGCTTTCAATAGTTCAATGACGACATTTTCATGACAGCACAGACAGGCTACATGTAAGGGTGTACATTGCATGGCATTTCTAATGTTAACACAGTTCGGATTTAAACTGACTAACTCTTGAATTGTAGTTAAATCGCCAGCAAATGCTGCCACATGGATCTTATCAATAAGTGTTTCCGGATAAGCTGGTGGTTGCTGTAGTCTTGGCATCGGATTACTAATAACTGAAAAGCCTAAAGTACAAGGCAAACCTTCATTGGAGCGGGTATAGAACGAGATTAATTGACTGATATTGGGAAAGAGTGGGCCACCTTCGATGCTGTAAAACGGTTGATAAATTGGGCCGTGCCATAAAATTAAATAATGAGCTATAGATTGTTTTAGCGGACTTTTTAGCGATAGAGCGTAATTTGGTTTGTCCGTACTACTTCGTATTAAAAAAGTACCAACTTCATAGATAGATTTTCTAAGTTCTTCTTCTGCATTCTTTCGGCCGATATTGCCGTGATAGCAATCGGTTCTTGTTAGCTGGCGTCTAACACTCATATTACGCGTAAATTTTCTATAAAATGTAAATGGAATATGGAAATAATCTCTCCTGATAAGTTAATATAAATCTTTTTCAGCGGTATAGAAAATAAAATTGAGAGGATTTGCACTTGTACAACGTTACGGTAATAGTTTGATCATCTGTTAAATTGCCTACGGTATACTATACACTATATCACCACCCAATTCGACTGGGTTTATTCAATTGTTATTCTATTATAACTTAACAATACAAATAGTTATATCCTCCCTTAAAATTGAAACAATATGATGTAATAGTTAGTTAATGTAGTAGCAGAGCCTGTGATCGAAACTTCCGTTTGAGTTTTTTAATCTGTTATACTCGTATATCGATTTAAGACGGTAACGAGTAGTGTTCTAAGCATCACACTTGTTGAATGCATCCACTACCAGCATAATTAATTACAATCAATTATATTATGCCTGATATACAGTACTGTATTGCATGGCTTTTGCACGTTAGTAATTATAGTATTACTACTTTGGTGTTGTACAGGTCATGGTAGGGTCAGGTTTTATTCATTTTAACATAAGTGCTTGTATGAGTAATTGCCAATGCTTTACTAGGACAACCCAGAATAATTTCAGTTAAGTGGTGTTATTAACGTTTTCATTGAGTAATGGATGAGACAGCAGTAATTCACAGATGTAAGCAATACTAAGTTTTTTTTTATGCTGTATTGATCTGAACATAGAAATACTGTTTATTTTCGAGTACTCTATAATGTATATGCCATTTGCGATCTCTGCATGTTGAAGCACATACACGAAATTAGATTTTACTGGTAGATTCATTTCTAATATTTCATATCATATTCAATAATGAATACATTTGATTCTTAAGAATCAGTTATTGCTAGAATTACACTTAACATTACAAAATAATTGTATTCCTCAAGTCAGGAGACAGATGAAGGTTGAGACTTCATTATAATATTCCGATTTTCGTTCCAATTGCATCTAACCTAGTCAAATTGAGTATGACCACTTACGCAGATTTTAGCAGTTTAGGTTACGAGCGGACATACTAAAGGAATTACATATAAATTTGTAGAAAGGCAGCTCATTTGATGTTAAATGAGCAGGGCCATGTCATAAACTTTGAACTAAAGAACTAAACATTATTCTTTTTATTTAAGAATCTCCAAATCGTAATGTTAATACAGAAACATCATCAATATTAAAGGATTTATGGACAGACAGCTTTACTGCGAGAAATTTAATGTGGATAGCAGTAGCTTTTATGCCAATGTACTACTTCTCGTTACCATAAATTATGCACTTTTTAGATAGTAATATACAGTAATAGATACCGAACACAGACAATAATTCAATCAATTGATAACAAGGTAATTCAATAGTTTATACCAATCAAACATTAAAGTATGTTCCTTTAACCTTTTAGAATAATAATTATACGAAAAAATATGCTTATTGATTAGTTATGAAATCTAAAATTGATGTTGAGCTTTTAGGTTTCAATTCCCATTTCGGATTGGCATAGTTACTACGAGTGTATTTTAACCATCCAAGCTTAACTTAAAAACTCTGTTATTCAGTATCGTAGAACTTTGATCGCGGTAATAGCTCAACCTGTATCTCTTCTTAATGTTAAATGGAGTAATTTTATAAGATGATGCTAATTGTATTATAGTTAAAATATTCATAGATTTCAAAATTTGGGTATGAAAGTAGGCTAATTTATCCTGCTTTGATATAACTTTAGTGTAGATTAATTTGATAAATTGATTCCTAAATCAATGAGAGATAATACAATGTTAATAGTCATTCGTCATCGACCAATTCTTTGGACAATCCATTCACGTTGACATAACGGACAACGGTTGCTTTTATTTAACCAGGAGGCAATACAGCATCGATGAAAGGAATGATTGCATTCACCCCAAACAACTAGATTTTAGTAACCAAATAGATTAAATCAGTTGAAAATTACAATTGCGTAGTGGGGAACCTACTTATTTTTTTAGTTTTCAAATCTATTATCACTACGAGCGAAAGCAGAACTGTAAAATTTCGAAACTGTGTAGGTATTGCTTCTACGTTTAATATTAACTAATCAAAGAGAAGTCCATCATGGATAACAATTTACCGACACAATCTTCTGTTTTAATTTCGTTTTGGCACTTCATGCATGCATCTGTTATTAAAGATCAATCATTATCGGTTAGCCCAAATTATCAACTTCCATATGGCTGTAGCAAATCAATTAGCTATAGAGCAAAATGAAGTCTTTCTACCCTTCCTGCTGACAAGTTGCATAGGACTTGTCCTACCTTACCATCGTTGTACGTGAATAGTCAACACAATCGCAGGTTCCTACTCACGCCAACGCTTCATTACTCCTTTCATATGAATTACAGTTGATTGATCCTAAGTTTTTTATCGACTATTCCTCTCATACCTACTAACAGTAATTTGCAAATAGCACATGTATCGCAAGTAACATCCCATGACCACAACGCCACGGCATTCCACTTTTTAATTGTAAACAAACTTTCTTCCTTAGGTGCAGGCTTTGAGCTTTTCGAGGTACTCGATTTTTCCATCACTTAACCTTCTGTTAATGGGCTTTACCACATGAATACTTAACCATCTTTCCATTTATCAACTTCAAACACACTGCACTCGTACGCTTACTGTACTGTATATATAACGATATATACTTGTATGTTTATGTAGTAATATCCTAAGGTTGTTCAGCAATTAATAATAATTTCTAATTTCTATCTAGATGGCAAACTTCTTCTTACCCGTCGCCGGATTCATTTCCAGGGTCCCGACTACCGTAATGCATTGGACTACTGTACAGTACCGTACTGTATTGTACTGTACAATGTACTGTGAAAAATCTCGATGACTTTGACCAGAAATGAGTCGATCTGATTCGGAGCGTACAGTACAGTGCACTGTACACTGAGTATACTGTACAGTACAGTACAGTACGGTACACTGTATAGTACGTACAGTACACTGTACTGTATGTACAGTATACTATACTGTACAGTTGAGAGGATCTACTGTACTGTAGCTCCGAGTTTATAACGATTATAAAAATTTATGAAATCGAAATTAACTTTATGATTCTTTTAATTGAAATTTAATAAATGAATCAAACAGTACAAGAGCGAAGCAACTAGAGTTATCATTTAATATTGCATTTCTGGACTCTAGAGGAATAATAAATCATGGAAACTTAGCTTGTCTAATACTGTCCAGCACGTAGCAACGCGGGCCATTCTGCTAGTAGTAATTATAGTAATGATAATACAGTGTGATGACAGAATTAAATTTCAACTCACGCTCGTTAGACTTCGCCTACTTTATACTTTACAAATTTAAGCATCGTATGAAGTTCGGGTTGAGTTGATTCCCTATAAAGAGATGAATATCGTAGAAACTTTCAGCTTCGAGCTAAGTCAAGTGACTGCTTTCGTCGTCATACAGCATCCTGTTTATGATGTACGTTTATTGCAGTATAAACGCGTAGGATACCTCTCTCATGATACTATACATATACACATACATGGATCAACACGATCCCTTTACATTAGGCACCGTTGTACTTTAGGAGTGAGTGTTGTCGGCCTCATAGTTTTCATTATTTGTGCAGAACATAGTAATCGCCTGTCCTCCGCTTATGTTCGCAATAAAAACTCTCTTATTTACTCCTTGTGTGATTACTATAATTGTACAATTACTATTCATGTGCAGTATGCTGTAAATTCTCTAGCGTACATACTATAGAATGTGCGGAATGGACGATAGCTAATAGTAAAGGAATATCATGCAGTAATAAATTGCACCAATCGTGACAAATAAGCGATCTACTATGATTATTACGGTGTTAGGTATAACCAGTACGACTGCTTCTACCAACAATTTGCAAATTTTTACGAGAAGTTGTTTGGAAGTACGAATAGTAGCACTTACCACTTTAGGATACTACAACTGTGAACTGGGAATACCGCAAATAAAGAGCATGTATCGAAAACGCAAATCATACAGTATAATAAAAACAAGTCATTCTAAATTAATATGCGACTAATATCATTTATTGCTCTATATTAAATTCTGTTGGGTCTTACAAGCTACAAATAATTCTCGCATTTTCCCATTCACGTTCTGTATTAATATGATAACAAGGTATTATTACAGTAACAAGCGGCTAGAAATCCAGTTAATTGATTCATTTTATATCAGCATGTGAAACACCTCTAGAGCCGCATATCAGTACGAATTCGTATTACTAGCAACAAATCCAAACTAGACAATCTTAAAAATTGGGTTTATAATACAACCTAAGCATGTTAAATCTTCATATATTGCGGTTAATCTATTACTTTTTCAGGTACATGTAACAATTTTTTAAAAACATTAAAATACTAATAAGCATTGCTCTCAGATAACGCAGCTCTCTAACTTTAAATATTAAAGATTCACAAAGAGCAATAAAGAATTATATATACAATGCATTCAAATGAAACATTAAACTAAAAGTATTTCGCCTTTGCATTGGGAGCAACAGTCTATCGCTGGAAAATCAAAGTTCTGAGCTATTTTGTGAATATTTTCCTTGAAAGATTGAGAACCGGTAATTTTCTTTGGTGCATTTGATTTCCTCTCCCGATATAGTTTAAAGTGTTTTTCCACGTCTTTTGCCAATGATTGAGAGAATCGATCAAGATTATATTCTAAGATTCCAGTTTCGTCAACTTCAAGTGTTAACTAATAGTGCCAAGCAAAGCGATACTTTAGCATAGAATTTCCTTAAACTTATGGAGAACTAATATTAGTCGATAAATACTAGCTATTACCTGTTGCAGTGAATGTTCAGTGTCAGAAGGAGTGATGGCTAGGTAGTTACTTTTAACGTCAGGTTGAACCGATAAACAATTTGATATCAGCTGTATTAATTCTTTATTATCTTTACACACATTGATTACATCTTTTTCGTTATGAATTTCCTTAGAATACACAGGATTGGCTTTCCCTTTGTTAAGGTGTTGATGAATGCTTTCTAGATTTCTACAGTAGGAGAGAAACAGTTTCGATAATTAAAACAGAGAAATACGATTGGTATGTTAGATTCACGAACAATCAAAGAGCGATTTGTATCGGGAAAATTCATCACCTGCTCGATATCAAAAGATCTTTCGCTAAAGTCACTCTGTCATTCAGTATATTTTTGATGCCGTTGTGATATTCTGTTAAGTAATCATACATTTCAAGTTTCCAATGTATCAATTGTTCAATCATCACCCTGTAAACATTTAAAATAGTCAATTTCTTGTGCCATAACAATTACAAGCATAATTGCTACGACATAAAAAATTTCAGCCGAGAGTAGCAATACAAATCTTAGCAACGCTATAGCCAATCATGAAATATCGACCTGCTAGCCAAGTATTTGCTTCTCCAAACATTGCATTTCATGGCTGCATTGTCCAACTTCTCACGATCTTCAACGATCTGCTTCGTGTAGTCTTCAATTTGCATTGCTAATTCAGTTTTATCTTTCGTTAATTCCTCTAATCTGTAGTTGAAGAAGTTGTATACAATATACGCATACACTATTAAATAGAAGTGACTTAAATTTTATGTTAAAAAGAGAATACTAGAGCTATACAGACAACTACTCAACAAGCATATTTCTAACATAAAGAGACCTTAACATTACAAGACTTACTTTAGTCCAATATCATCACCTATAGAAGCCACTAATAATCGCTTAAGCTCAGCATTTACCTGCAATTTAAAGAATTAGGCTAAGCAAACAGTCAATGGGTTACTTAGGTAAACATTAACTAAGAATAAGGAAGATAACAAATCGAAGGAAAAACATTTACGAAACAAAGACCAACTCATACTCACAATCAGTTGTGCTTCTAACTTTGAGTCTAATTTTTTTAATTGTTCTTTCGTTTCTTCAAGCAAGTCACGATACGAGCAACGATGAGTATCTAAATTACTTATATCAGTCTCATCTTCTTCTTCCTCTAACTTATATGTTGCATTATTATTATCCACATTTTGATATGCTTGGGCACTTTTTTGTTCATCGGGATAGACAGATTGTTGAATTATTTCGTTATTGCTAGCAACTAGAAAGGGAATAAATCAAATGAAAGAAAAGAAATAAGTGGACAGAATGCCGTATTCGTATTTCGTTTCAGACAATAAAGAGTACTGTTATAAGTAGCTAAAATTACTAAAGATAATTTATCATTCTAAAATCATTGATGCTTAGTCTCCACTATTACTGGTATCAGCGAAATAATATGCTGGCGGCTTATTATGACATAGTAGATAAATATTGACTGATAATAACAATTTGAAGATACTATAAACCACACAGGTGAGTTCATTGGCAACTTCTGGCAAAACATAGCCATATATAAACTTTGAATGTACCATAGTATTATACAGTATTGCTACAAACCTCTTGATACGTCTTCAGCAACTGCGCGTTCTGCATTATCAACAGTGGCACTAGGTGTTGGCCATAATATGCTTGAGCCGCTATTTCTTGGAATCTTATCATTAATCGAAGAAATGGACTTTAAATTTTTCTTATTGGACTCCACAATGTTATAAGTTGCCGATCCATTCTGGGTAATTTTGTTTTTTATAGTAACTGCCGGTAATTCATTTAATGGTAGATTTTCGGATTTATCATCTTGCAAAGAGTTGAATATGTGCAGGCGATGGTTCGGCTTCAGTGGCGAGGCAGCAGTAGTTATTATGCTCTTGCCTTTACGATCTTCAATATTTAAATGATCATTTACAAGTAAAGAAGATTATAAATGTGTGTTCATTATAAAATACAATGAAAAGTGAACTCTAGCGAAAGAACATGGGATATCAAGAAAGACCTAGTTAAGTCTGATATTACAGGACAAACTACTTTTATGACTTACGCATGATTTATCTCGCCAAAATATTTAGCAAAAGTCGAATTGAGTGAAGATTTTGACCTTCAGGAATAAATTTTAAGGTAGAATAAGTTGCTATCAGACCAGTACTTCATGTTACTAATAACAAAAGTGTGATCGAATTGGCGAGTTATAACATGTAAACTTTCAAAAACGAAGGACAACAATCGCATAGAGAATGAGAATGATGTCGCTGCAGTTGGCTTGCAGATTATAAGATATTTCTGCAAAACATCTAGAACTGAATGAATGAAAAGAATCAGGATATCAGAAGTTTTAAAGGACTGATTACTGACGAATTCTACAATCCAACACTCACGTGTTATGATTAACAAGACAATACAGTACTAAGACCTGTCAGTACTACCGGGTAGTATTGAATAACTGAATTAAAATTCAGACGTTCAGACGTGTGCATCATCGATGGGTGGTGTTAATTAAAATACCCATACGTACAGTATAGCGTGATTAAATTTTGTCAATAATGTCTAAGGATAAGTGTAGTATGATATTAACAAGAGCAATACAGTCAATGGCTGCCATAGTAGTGGAGTACTTTTTATGGTTAAGACAAGATAGGATACGAAATAGTCAGTTAATAAAATGGGTGAACTCGACGATGACCAAGTTACATAATGCTCTACCTATTTCTAGTTTGTCTGACACATACTATTATATCAGGTTTATAACATGCTATGCAGCACACAAACCAATACGATTCTTTCTAACTAGTAAGTAGTAAGTACCTATGCACCATTCGGTAAACAACTGGTACTCCGATACTAACATTATTATAAATTTATAACTACAACTAGAAATAGGCTACCATTGTAAAATGAATGCAGTTTAGGTCTACGCCATTCCATGATATTACTTTGCAATCTTATTAAGTTGCTTCTTCAGAAACCTTTTGTAATCAGGCGGTAGTTCTACTCAAATATTGGACAGAATCTGTTTTGTATTATTGTAGAAGTACAAATTAATTATACTGTATAATCATTTGACAATCAATCAGTTGCCAAATTTGGATAACATTACGTCCACTGCAGCAGCGAGTAGGGATAAGATTTCGAAACATTTATCAGCGTACTATTAAAATATAGGCCTTCGAAAAGGGAACCATTTGCAAGGCGTTTCCTTCACCAGAATAATCCTTATGTTCACGATGATGTATTATCATAATCAGGCCTGATGCTACAGCAATGGAGATTTGCAAAATCCTGTAGAGCAAATTCATTTAAAAGGATTGTACATACAATCATTTTGCTCACTGTTCCTCCATGTTGTCTTCCACTGATACAATTGAAACGATTGTAATAGTAATATTGGTACTGCAATTGCCAGCAAGTAGCGCTTTTTGAACCTTTCCTATAGATACTTTTCAGTACACGTCTATTTCGACATCGTTGACACGTACGTACACTCGTACAGTGTACTCCTATCTTTTCAATGCAAAAATCATCATGCTCATGACCGATGAATCCCTACTCTACTATATACTATAAGTCTAACAGAAACACCAAATACAAATGGGATCAATTCAAGAATAAGTCTCAAAAGCCATTATCCAAATGGTGATTATGATCGAAGTACTAAACTATCTGGAGGCTCTAGTTGATCCAAATTGCTATCGTAGAGTCAGCATAAGAAATAGACAAACAAAGCAAGGAATCAATCCTAATCTTAGCTCACTTTCTAGTTGTTTTATCAATACCGATACTGGATGGTGTCAAGATGTGGAGTTTTCACAAGCCATCTTTTAATCATTCATGAAATACATTGAGGCGCATAGGACAGCATCGTTCAAGCCATATTTCCACTACTGCATATCCAGTTTCCACCATAAGAAGTTCGAGGTGAAGAGTTCCTGCCTTTATGATTTCCATCCAATAGCCAAATACATTACTGTACAGTGTACAGTACATAGAAGTCCGTTTGCACGAAGTAAAATACTGTACAGCACTGTATGTACTGTACTGTACGTCCAGTACACGTATCTAATATTAATAAGCAGCACTACAGTATATACAGTACATGTACAGTACTTTACGATTGCAGTTTTCACCTAAATCGTGTATCGGATGTACTGTACAGTACAGTGGACAGTACCATACTATCATGGTGTTACATTGACGTAATAATATTGTACCAGACTTGCGCAGTTTCCCCGGTCGCTCAATCAACTGACTGGATCAGGGTCCAGACGTCCAGACCAGACAATGAAAACCTCTAGCTGCATACGGTAGTACTGTACTGTACTGTACACTGTACTGTACTGTACAGTGTACAGTGTACAGTTCAGTAGAAGCACGAGAACCCGTAATTCAAACTTTCTCCTGTACAGTACTGTACTGTACAGTACAGTACTGTACACTCTGGACTGTACAGAGAGATGTACTGTACATTGTACTGTACGTTAAATTTAATGTACCCTCTCGCGATCGTTCGTTCCTCCTTTTGTCTTTCTTAAACCAGACCATATCGCACTGAGACACGGAGACGTGAGTCCTTTCCAGTAAAATCCCTCGAATGATTCTAACTCTCGGCTACCTTTTAGCTTCATTTTTTAAACTGATTGGAGTCACTGGACCAACACAACAGAAAAACATCATGGCCAATGAACGTACTTATATCATGGTTAAACCAGACGGTGTCGATAGAGGCCTTGTCGGCGACATTATCAGCAGATTTGAGAAACGTGGCTACAAACTGGTAGCTCTTAAGCTTAAATTGGTAAGTTGTCACTAACCAACGTTTAAGATACATGTCTCATGTTACCGTACTGTACAGCACGCAAGTCAAGGGCTTTTTCATCGTAATGGATGGAAAAAACGACAATCGTAATGCTCCAATCGACATACTGTATGCCAGTGGAATATGAATCTTGTGTAGTATATCTGACATTAAGGAGTTTACTCTCTTTTCATCTTTCTGAGTCCAGGCGTAACAATACAGCAGTCTGACTTGACTTTAGCCCACGTGGTAACAGTAGTTACGGTAAAACTAACTAAACTGCGGTCGTTCATCACCGGTATACCTGCATATCTGATAGTGATTAGCAATTGGAGGATGGAAAATATGGGTATTTATGGAAAAATGACACGAATGTTCCTTTTGCTTTTGTAGGCTAGCGAAGAGTTATTGCGTGAGCATTATGCAGATTTAGCAGGAAAACCTTTCTTCAATGGTCTTGTCGCATTTATAGGATCTGGACCAGTTGCATGCATGGTAAGAATCCAGGAATAGACGTAGTCCAGCAAATTGTTGGACGGTGTCACTATATTATATAGATGCCAGTTGCCTAGAAGTGGGGCTCTTATTCGTCGATTCAACTTTTTTTGTCATCCTTTTTTTTGATCAATCCAATTTTTCTTCTCTAGGTATGGGAAGGTAAAGATGTAGTTAAAACCGGTCGACGAATGTTAGGAGAAACTGATCCGGTAGGAATATTTGAAGTTTCTAAGCGAAATGTTGACAAACAGTATATACCTGTTTCGATACTGTACAATTAATGGTAATAGCTAGATGTCGATTAAATGAAATCATTTGCTTTTCAGCTGAAATCACTTCCTGGATCTATTCGTGGTGATTACGCTATTGATCTGGGACGGTAAGGCTTTCAGCAGTTTGACATATTGTATTCTTTGCATTCCAAGCTACTACATCTATTTGAGGAAAACTGGTTGTCATTCTAATTAGTATTCAGTTAATAAATTTAATCTTATCTTGAATTAATTGCTATAGCTCAGAAACCATTGTATATAAAGTCTATTATCTTTACTCCCGACGTCTGTTCAATTTTGCCGGTCATAACTTTATGTTTGCTATAATTATATCTGATTGACTAGAAACGTGTGCCATGGAAGCGACTCTGTTGAAAGTGCTAACAAGGAAATTAAGTTGTGGTTTAATGAGGATGAATTAGTCAATTGGAATGCAAGTCTCTATAAATCGATTTACGAATAAATCTTTTGGAGGAAAAGAATTTTTGAATATACGTCGTAGTTATCAAATCGAGAAGCGTACTACAAGTGCATGTTGGATCCATTCCGAATGTATTTAGTATTTGATCGATTGTAATCTTGCTTAAAATAAAGTAAGCTAAATATGTATCAATAAATGATAACATTGTCCTGAAAAAAACTACCGACTATGAAGTTTAATTTGCACTAATCATTTCCGAATGGGTATACCATGTGTCATAGAGGAAAATTACCTCACCAGAATTCACCATAGTCTGTCTTTTATATTTGACATGGGTAGTTCATTGTTCTTTAGCTGGTGTAAATAATGTCTACGTAAATACTGTAGCTATTACCATATTGGATTGGATGATCCGTCGTAGTACATATTGCTATCGTATTTATAACCTGAATTAACTATCAGACTACAATACTGTAGCTTATTATTTATCTAGTCTAGTTTCTGCGTGACATTTATGTCAGACTGATTAGCTGCCAGTGCTTTCAACCAGTCTAGTATTGAAATAATTCTGTATATCGCCTCTTTTGTCATGCTACGAGTTAGAATAGGCAAGAAATTGATCGTAAGCATTACACGTTTCTGAATTCAATCAGTAATGCACGCTATGTTTACGGAATATAAGAACTATACGGGTGCGTATGCAAAAATTCCAATTTAATATAATTGAATTATAATTATCGACAGTGATTGTCATGATTTCTTGTTATTGCTTAACATAAATTTTCACTACAGTAATTTGCGTTTGGGTTGATCTCTGTACTAATTATTATTTGTATATGTTAAGGCGATGTTTCTCACGTCTAACTTAATGCGATCCTAATATTTAACATATTTCCGTGATAACGATACATCCTTGAAATATTTCTAGTTCTTGTCAGATGCTTGCTAGGATAATATGCTTAATGAACTCTTGACTTACTCTATTAATTACCAGGTGCGATATGATCAGTGCAAAAGAAAATTTCTACATTTGAACTTGTAAATTTGAGCTAAAGGAAACAAGATTGCGTGTTGAATAATATCGGAAGAGCAGCATCACGAATTGAATTTGTAATACTTATTAGAGGAAGAGCTGATAGTACAAAATATAGTAAATATCTCTCAAGAACTTTCACAAAAAAGTTTTCAATATACTGTATATACCAGCAACATGTTACGCATAAACAGTGTTCTTGCAAACGCAGCTACGTTCAGAAAGGATAATCATTCAGTCAATATGGTCATGATGCTCGACTATTTTTACTACAACAATTACGCAGCTTATGCTATATTACTACGGCAATTAAAAAGCCATTATGCACATTGATAGTATAAAACATCCAACATGAAGTAACCATCGGCTCATTTTTACTTCTGAGATGTTAACAAGAACTGCACTACAGGTATACGTATAGTAGCACTTAGATTAAGAAATATGAGACCAGAAAATACTAGGGGTTGAAAATTATACGTATATTTCAAGGCCTTTATTGAAATAATCCAATTTATAGATAATTCGTTAATTATCGAGTATTTAGCGTTCGTAATATGGATGGTACGTATTATAACGATAACTGCATGGCAAATAATAGTAATTTTACCCTTTCAGAATTCCTGAGCGTATAAAGTATACAATGGACATACATTAATATACAAAATAAATGATACATGTTAAAATATGATAGGATGTTATCTCTTGGCTTAATAGCTAAAGCCATAATCCGGTATTCATAGGTATTGTTCACTGAATTTATACACTTCACTCGTCATCCTCAGAGGACTCTTCTTCGGCTTCATTCAGCCAACTGATGAATGGTTGCACCTATACAATCATACAATAAATGTAGCCAATGAGCAAAAACAAGTACGGCATTTTGCCTACTAACGACAAAACTTAACATAAAGCCGAATATACATATATAGTAATCAGATTGCTATTAATAAACGATATAGCTTTATCTTACTAATTCGCGTAATCGTTTTCGCTGAGAGAGTGTTTCATCACTTTCGGGTGGTAAATTTGTAAACCAGCGTTGAATAGGAAGTTCTTCAATTATGTCCAAATTGTATAGCATCAATAGGATCTTTTGTATCAAATGGAAGACTGTACTATTTTCTAAACAATAGTCCTGTAAAATTTTACAGAAGTTGTAATATTCATATTATTATACATCGTTCAAAGGTTGTATAGAAATCAGTCGGCAAATAAACATTAAAATTATTAATACTATAATAAGTTTTCGTTAAATAACCTCAATAGCTTCTAAACAGCCAATTTGACAAGATGCAGTTTTGGCATAGTTTTCGATTAACGTCTTGTAGTAGCTAAAAACCTACAATATGAAAACAAAGAGGTGCAATAGAAAGCTTAATACACTATTTAAAGTTAGTCACGATTTCGTTTACAACTAACTTCCTTATAATAGGATAAATAAGAATTGTTATCTGCTTTGGCTGAACTACTGGATGGACCATCCATAATTGCCAATACAACAGACTGTGCTACATCAGCTACGGTTCTGTTATAGGCAAACCTAAATTGTTGTTAAGAAAGCGCATATAAATGTAAGTATAACGTTAATTGTAAATCCAATACGCCAATTCATATTAAACGTCTACGAACTTTGAACCATTTAGTTCGTAAATGATATTTTCCGCTGGTGTCTTGTCTGCAAATCCTTGACGAATACTCTCACTAACTTCACTATGAAATTGATCTAATAGGAGTAACAAATCATACCGCTAAAACATTTTCATCTCTTTTCAGAATAAATATAGTCTAGCAAACCTTCATCATCTATTTCGAATCCATTTGCCGCAGAATCACTATCTGAATCTTCACTGTGTAAACTCCCTAATTTCCAGTAGTGGTTAATGAGAGTTAAATTCAGCAATTTCACACGTTGCTACCTATTAATACTAGTCTTACCTCTCTCATCTTCCATGTAATCGTTAAACAGTTCTGGCTGCCATACATAACCAATGCCTTCAGGTCCTAGTATAGCTCTATCATCTATTAATATACGTGCATAGACAAAAATTTAAGAAAAATAATCTTATGAGCAAACAATACGTCAATATAACTTATTAATTTATATACGCAAGATTTGAAGATAATATTCAGCTATATTTCTTACAATTAGGTATATCTTCCGCTTCTTCGTTTTGTTCCGTTCCTATTCCAGTCGTATTATCATTTTCCATAAGATGCTTCGGCTTAGGCTTCTGACAAGAAAATCGACTATTCTCTTCTAAAGTAACGTCAGGGCCAATAACCACCTGTAATTTAAACAAGTTCAGTTTTAAATAAATACAATTAATTGCAAATTGCGTTGGCTTCGAAAGAAATTTTAATATTACCCCAAAGGAAAGCAAGCAACCACTGTTGATATTTACTTTTCTATGAGCAAATAGGAGTTAGTTAGCTCATGGTAGAACAGTCTATTAACAATTGTATAATTAATTAATTACTTAATACTTCAATTTTACTCTTTACCGTTTAATACGACAATCGTCACATAATAATGAATTGATAATACAGCAATCGTCATCGATGATTACGTTATTCCAAACGTAGGAATCTTTGATAATTACATTATTGCCTAAATTGATGAATAACTCATAATTAGCTAATATTAAGTAGAAATTAAGAATAGATCTACTAAGTATCAAACCTATTTTACAGCCATTTCCAATTACTGAACTTTTAATTTGTGTTCCTTCTCCAACACTACAATGACTACCGATAACGACGTCTTCAGATAAAACGCAACTTCTGTATTCGAAATATACGACCAAAACGTTACCGGATTCGAAACACAACGATTTATGACAACAGATACCAAAAAATTTAAGCAATTACTTTTTTATGTTACAGCGATAACTTACCTTGCTAGAATGACATTAACAGCACCTAGATATATGTTTGGCTGAGATATGGTGTAAGATTCTTCTTTACTGGTATGTTTTTCATCAGGTACCAATGGATATGACCAACGATGAATAACATCTTTGCTAGGTTTTGATAGGGCATACTTTACTGGCTTATGCATTTAGAATGATACATAATCCAATGTACGTGTGTTATATGTATATGTCATACCTGACAGCATCATACATGTGCAAATTCGATACACGAACAGCATATTCATCCGTTACCGTATAGGTGTGGATCTGATGACCAGTAATCTAGAATATAATTTCAAGGGGAAGGCGAGACGAACGTCAAATGGCACAACAAACTCATAAGCCAATAATTTTGTTAAACTTTAATGAATGGTTTACGTGTATGTATAATCGGTTGCAAAAATAAGAAATTATGGGAATGTAACTTACATGAACAATTTAATGCATATGCACAAACTTACCTCTTCACTGATAAGGATTCCACGAATAAAATCGTAGATTGTTTGATAATCAAAGTTATCCGTAAAAAGTTGAGTTACCTGTGTCAAAATGGCAAGATGTTAGGTTTGCAATTACATTACTGCCGTAACTGTGAATCAGTATTATTCTACAGTACCTGGGGAGAACAAATGCTAACATGGCAATCCAGTAAATCGTAACGAAGATGAACGCCCCGATTCTCCAGAAAAATTGACTTCAAAGACAAAATTGCAAATTATATTAGCAAATTATTTAATAATTTAAAATTTAAGTAACGAGAATAAGTATGTTTACGACTAACAGCTGGAAAGGATACTTTGGTATGATTACGTGTCATCTGATAGTGAAGGAGTCGATTGTTTTTCGGATCAATTGCTGCAATCATATCTTCTTCACTACATCTAATAACGGTAGCACAAATTTATAGCATAACATTTATATAAAACTAGATACGCCAATGCCTTTTTTCAACATGAATATTCAATAATTATAGCACAGCATATTAAATCTGTTCGAACAACGGCTAAAAATAGCTTAATCTGTCAAGTTTACATAGATGTAAAGGCCATGACATTCCTATTCATCATATAAATTTTCAAAATAGGTCTACATGAAGGCCTTCTTTTCTATACCTCCATTAACTAAACGTTACCTATTGTATTAGCATCGAAACGCCATCAATAGAAACGCAATTGGTAAGGAGGATTAACGAGAAAAATATTACAACTATAACTACAACGCATACCGGCTTCTGTGACCAGGTGCAGATTCTTTGAGTATCATAGTCATAACCGACATTTTATCATTCTTTCTTCTTTGCCTAAGATATCCCAATAGAAATAAGTAATCATTTCTGTAGCAACTTCAATCACTAATCCATTTGCCTTACTTGTGCTCTTCTAAAGCCTTCTGCAATTTCATATTTGACACTAGATCTCCACTTACCAAGATAAAATCAGACTTTATGACGGCCTAAAATAATCCGTTACAGATTAACTATGTTAAACAGTTGATGATAAATAATAGTGTTCGGGTTAGGGTTCGAGTACCGTAGAAAATAGAGTAGTAATACATGCTAGCTAGGCTATACAGACAGAATGCTAGTATCGATAATTCCTAAATATTGATTACATAAAAATTGCTCTATACTTAGCAATACTTTTGCACATACATGGCACATATGAACTTTATTATATTACCGAAAAGAATTACCTGATTTTCGATATCCCGCAAGGCATCACCCAATGATAAGGCTCTATCAGATTTCATTGTTTTGATGTTGCAGCAATGTTTCAAGCTTCTTATTTTCTGTCTGAAAGCATTAATGAGAACAACGTTGCAACTATACCATTTGTGCATGTCCACAAGACAGCGAAAAATATGAAGCTCGATGAGCTAACTTTGCGCACTGACAATCTATTTTGGAAGTACGCTATTTTAATGTGATAAATACAATAACATGAGTCAGAAAATCTTACTGCATATGTGCTGTAATTTGATCGCAGTGAGCGCAGCAATAAACAAATATATCTTGAACCCCAGCATGCAATAGAAAATCGATTGTATAGTCAAGTAATGGACGATTAACCAATGGTAAGAGTGTCTGCAAATAAGATCAATATAACTTCAGTTCAGTACATTTCAATGTTAGATTAATAGAACTAGTATGCATTCATTCTGCCAACCTGTAGTACAACATTATAGCATGAAAAATTGTATATAAACAAAGGTATATGCTACATAGTACGAGTAGGTTGCAACTACTGTATTTTGCTAGACGGTCATCAATGCCAACTTTCAGTCTATCAGTTGATGGTGAAGAAAATTGTAGGATACTAATACTATAAATTTCAGCTAACGAACAGTAAGTTCATTAAATTCAATCAATCTACATGGCCACTACTTTAATTATGCGTAATTATTATTGCAATACAGTAGAACATGTATGATTAATTATAATTATTGGCGATACAGTAGTGTCTAAAAAAGCCGTTGATCCATAAAGTAAAGTAGTCATGTAACACTACGCATTTATGCTTCATTTTAGTATCGACATTTTCTACCAGTGTTCACACAGTTGTAAACGTGCAGCAGCCAATCGCTATCTTCAGTGGTTGTTCATAAAAGTCGGTATGCTGCTCTTATAAATAAAGCGACTAGGATGTTATCATTGCTGTCTGGCATCTTGATACCTTGGCAACAATCTCATCCTTTATCGAAGAGATAAAGGCTGACTATGAGGTAAGCATCGCAAAACACAGTCTAGAGCATATACAGTACTGTAGCACAACGCCAATAGATTACAACTTCCGGACACTACATCGTGTACAAGTTCATCTTCAAAAGGCAAAAAACAGAATTGAATAATTGCTAGCATCATTCTGTAGTTCAAACTTACTCTCGGTTTCTCATGAGTTACTGGTAGAAAGCGAAAATTGAAACTGTCCCCAATGATAACCGCTTGGAGAATATCTTCTGTTGTCCAAGTTTCATCTCCTCCAGCCGCTTTTTTCTTACCTTTACCGCCTCCATGATGACCAGCCTTGGTTGACGCCATGCTAAGGCCGGCTAACAAGTGCGTTTGAAGCAGTTCAGCCACACGCCAACCGGTCAATGTTACCCATACAGTATGATACGGACAGTGAGCTGTAGTCTGCTATACAGTACATTATATCGTAGAGAAAGAGTCCGTACAGTACTTTGCGGTACAGTACTGTGTACTGTACTGCACAGTGCACGTCACTGTCTTGTACTGTACAGTACTATACACTGTACTGGACTGTACTATACGGTACAGTACTGTAGGCCCAGCCATCATAACCCCGATTGCTCAGATACTCAACAGTACTGTTGAGTGTTTTTTTCTTAACTCTACAGTACAGTATGGTTGACACGGAGTTTCTGTTTAGAAGACCGTGGTACACAATGGTACGATGTGAGCCAGTTCTCTTTAGAGTGCTATTAGGCAAAATAAATTGTATTCAGCTTTATATTCGTATACTTTTTATTACATTTTGCTTCACTCTCGTGATTTTAGGGCACCTTAAAGTACTCTGATTGGAACTGGTTCACACTGTACAGTACAGTACTGTACAATGTGATTATTTTCGATGTCTCCTCTTCGTTAAAAAATTCAAGTTGTATTCCGTTGAAATTCCTGTATAGTATTTATATATATATACCCATAGAAGGATATCTCCCAAGATAGATTATCATGATAACATGAACGTACTATGTCAATAGATGGCAAAAAAATCGTTTTAATGGCGGACCGTTATTTTTACTTATGTACCGTACTACTGATAATACCATGTTGAATGTTATGGCAAAATTGTTTACCGTACATCTAATGTTAAAAAATCGCGAAAAATATAGGTGACACGGACAATCTGTCAGAAGACCGTTGTACACTTGTACTGTACTGTACAGTTAGGGTTAGGGTTAGTACAGTACAGTACAGTACAGGACTCCGCGTCAATCCCTTCTGTCCTATCCGACTCCAATCCGTAAACACGATCAAGTGGACGGGGAGGGAGATCAGCAGGAACTTGTAAAAGAGAAACATCACATAGATGTTCTATAGGCATTCCTAAATACAGTATACCAATTTATTGGGATTCAATATGGATATCCCACTCCGTAAATATTGAATTTTTTTTACTTTGATAAATGCACTCTAACAGCATTTTATTATTATTAATTCTACTTAAAAGTCGAACGCAGTTGATCGTGATACTTTGCCTATCTGTTTTATCGAGTGGAATATTCTATTTACTCGTGCAACCCTCGCTCGTGATATTATATACTGCCAAGCTGTATTTACACTGGCATCATATTCCCACATTGGAGGTACTTTAGAGTACAATGTACGTTACTCGTAGTAAGGGTATTTGGACTCCTGCAACAGAAATTGCTATTTAGGGATTACAAACGTAAAAATTCCCGCTCTGCCTGCTGATTAATTAGTTATAATATAATGATTAATTCTGAAGGCTAGCTACTAGTAGAGGAATAGGAAATTTGGACTCCTACAATAACAACTGCTACTATCTCGCATTGCAACATAGGTTTACGGATTGATTTATTACGGTGATTTTATGTTATAGTGCTTTCGATAGGGAATCTTCTGCTAGGTGAAGCTCTTTTCGAGATCGAGATAGTTTTACTTCATTTTCGCACACAGTACAGTACAGCAATGACGATTGGAATAGGATACATGCATGAAACTATCCAATTGAATATATCACAAAATTGCCATCTAGTCTAATTAATTTTCATTTTTATGATGGCTATACTTCATACTGATTAATTATCATTCATTGATTCGAATTAATTTCATTTCTATGATGGCGATACTCTACTGTATAGTGACCCCGTAGACCGTCGACCATGGATTTAAATTAATTTCTATTATTTTAGTGATATCGATATTCCATACTGGTCGTTAATCATAGATTTAGAATAATTCCGTTTTTATGATGGCGATATTTCATCGAATCATCAATCATGGATTTGAATTAATTTCCACTATTTCATCATGATCATCAATCATTACTTTGAGTTAATTTTCATTTTTGTGATGACATTGTTTCATCTAGCAATCAATCTTCATGGATTTAAAAGTATCAGTAGCAGATACGCGATAAGAAATGGCGATACAGTACTACCATCATTGCTAAAAATAATTGAACATATTTAGACAGATACGGTAAGGAATGATAGAGGACTGTTGGTTTTAGGTCTTCTTTTCTAATAGCTTATACAGACTCAACTAAATGAACAAGGACTTTCGTAAACTTATAGGGACATGATACCTCAGCTGCACAGTTTGAGCTAAGCATGCTAAAAAGGATTTATGAAAGATGATCTTATCTACTGGAATTGCTACGTGAATCCTTAATGATTAACTAGCCATGATTTCATTTGCCTTGAGTTACTATGAAATGAGGGATATTATTTTATTAATTATAGATCAGTTCCGAATACCAATACCAGTATGATTATTTAATTATTGAAATGATTGAACATTACTTGCATCCTACGTTTAATATTCTTGGAGTAAAATCTTCAGATGAAACATTAGTAGCTCATTTTAAAATATAGTCATAAGCTATGTGCAAACTGAGATCCTCCTTAATTATCCTATCTTGCTTGCTTCATCACATTTCATGATCGATATGAAATTGAAGCAAAATCAGCTTCCAATCTGCGACAATCTCAATATTGTGGAAATACGTATGGTAATGAATTTATATGTGGGTAATGAGGGTTCATTAGTGTACGAATCAATTATATCATTGATGCATGCATTTGATGATTTAATAGGCTATCGCCTATTTTTAAACCAAAATCTATAAATATCTTGATTAAGCAAGGGCTACTGCTAGTCTATAGATTAGGTCATAAAATATGTAAATATCAATTCATCTTCTATTTTACTTGCTTATAGCACATCGCAGACTTTATCTTCTATACTCAGTATCTGACCATGTGTGATGGAGTACAGACTCCGTAAATTAATTGTAGCGTTAGCTTTAATAATGTGCACCGAGTGCAACCGAGCTAGGGTATGTAAAGCCCGGTGCTCTCATTAGCTATTGAGTTGACGATTGACCATGTACAGTAGTGTAAGCGTGTAGTTAGAGTAGTCTTGGATGTCAAGACTACCTTGGTTTAATAAACTAATTTAAAAGCCTAAGTCTAGTCTACTCTTAGCCCGTTAGGTGCACATTTGGTTGTTGTAGCCTTAGTATTCATACAGATTTAAAGACCCAGGTTTCCTTGTCGTGGGCTAAACCTGACACCATGCCTTTACTACTGTTTCTACAGACTATCGTTAGAAAATATTACTCCACTATTTTAAAGCCTATCAGTGATATGATAACGGGATTAATAGTTAACTCAATTCTGTTCAGGTAGTAAACTCGAACCAAGTTTTTATTAATGTCTTGGTATGCGCTATTTTTCAGACTAATAACAAAGTTTTAAAATTAATAAATCTTGTAGCCATGGCTTAGATAAAATCGTTGCTATATTGCTGCTGCTGAGCTTGAATATTATCTGTAGGCTGAAGATTCTTGGCTTTAAGTTACATACGCATTTGTGTGTAGAGACGAAAGGTAGTAGATTATAATTAAAATCAAAGTGGTCTTTATCCGAGATGTATCTCATATCGAGGTATAGGAAATACTATACTCTAGAACGTAACTTATGTATACTTGTAGTGAAGAGATGACAATCCTAGCTCACACTCGATTGACCAGTTAATGCAGTCCGTATGAAAACTTTGACCTCATTAGTGTAACTAAGGATAAAATTATCATGGGCAATGATGACCTTTCTTTATTGAAATATTAATCGCTAATTGCTTACTACTTATTAATGTGCCTGTGACAACGACTCTTTAATGATGAAACTAATCTTTACCTATTAATTAATAATAAAATAAATGTTTTATTTGATCTGGTTAGACTCGTATCCTACCGAAACCGCCTACACTAGAGGCCCTTAGTCTTCAGTTACTAAATCAGCTATTACACAGAATGAAAAGAATTTCCGACCAATAATCATATTTCACAAGATCATATCATTTTACTACAATATGGTAGTCATTTCATACAAGATGTCACGTACTATAGCAATATTTCGTTATACTGCATTAATGCCGATGCTTAATAGAAGTTATAAGTGTCTACTTTAGCCAAAATAATTTATAACTAAATTCTCGCCTAAAGTAAACTAGTCTTGATCGTAAACTGTTTAAAATAACGTTTATAAATATGTTAACAATAGATGCTACGCCAGCAGCATCGGCTTTATTCTAACATCCATTCCGATCTAATAGCTATCAATTTATCTTTTGTAAATCCTCTTAACACTAATCCTTTATGACATTGGATAGCAGGTACCAAACAGTATTAATAATATTAATATAAAAACGATTAACAATTAGAATACATAATCAAACCTTTGTTTAAACCAGACAGTGAAATTATAGTTTTTATTTTTTGTCGATGCAGTAATTTCCTCACCTGTTTTCAAAAGAGAAATGCATCATTAATTAACTGCTATTTCTCAATCACATTAACTATCCATTCTCTTCAACTTCGGCTACCACGACAACATGGAAAAAATACACAAAAGCTCTCTAATAATGCCATAGTAGTATTGAAAAGTAAATAAATAAGCTAAAATGAAACCTAGGCATTCATTAACTACGTCACAATACAGTATGATAGCGTTGCAGTCCTTCATCTTTAATTAACAATACTTGCCTATGTTGAAGAATAGTGTAAAGCCTTAGTCAATGAAACTAATGATAGTATAAAAACGCTTGCAACCCTATGATCGATTTCAAATTAAAGTCAACAATTAGACGCCCAATTGATTATTATTTTTCCTCCTCGATGCTATCGTCAAATTAAATTATCATCGTATACGAAAACAGCTAAAGGATTTTATTACATACAGCGATTTATTTGATCTACATCCTGTTGATCAACCTAAGTATTTCCTTTTGGTTTGAATAATAAGAGTTATTACATGCAAATTTTTGACATCATCTTCAGTTGGAGTCCAGTATAACGTTGAAAATTAATTTGGCTTTAAAATTGGAGAATGACAGATCAGTATTTTTATATAACTTGGTCTGCTAATCGCACCGCAAAATTATTTAATCGTGAAGAATCTTATGTTCTTTCAACTGCTTTAATTATTATCTTGGTAAGTGGAATAACATTAAATTCTGCTCTCGTCATCAAGTTATTTCGAAGGAAGAAAAAAACTCCTACTGACATTCAAGTTATTAACTTGGCAACCGCAGATTTCTGCTTCTTAGCAATCAGGTAATACAGATTGACAGTGTATCGATAATGTTCTAACTTATTTCTTGCATTACATCGATTTGAATATGTGGTTTGGGTAGAAGAAGGGGTAAATTTAATCATATAGATGATAAAGCACTGTTTAATAGAATTAAATCGTTTAATAAGTCTGCGTTTATATTGGCTTTTTATTTCTACGATTTTTCATGCTGCTGCCAAAATAAATAGTGTAATAAGTAGGCAAAGTAAATTAAGCCTGCAAAAGACTTACTGGACTTTCATCTTTTTCGTTACTAACCATTGCAGATAGATAATGATTGAGTCGTAAACATCCCTATATCTATCGTTTCATCCTATACTTTAATGCAATTAAGACTAAAAATTTAAATCACTACATTTACAACTCGTATGAGAATTCACATCATTTATTAAAAGTCTACTTGTTGTTATAACGTGATGCATCGTCATCGCGCTACAAGTAAAAGCTTTACGAATCATATCTATCAGTATTTCACCGTTTAAAAATAAAATCGAGTGACGAGAATTTTTGTTTAATTGTATTTCAGGTTAAGTAACAATTCATTCAATTTACTTGACCATCAGTATTTCGATCTAAGCAACGATTAAATCTATAGGAATTAGTAAAGGCTACAATTGTTTTTATTAATGCCATCGGTGATTTACTCATCTTCATGACTCATTCAAATGGAGTAGAGAAAGCGAATACATACAGGATTCAGTCAAGAATTGAAGGTAGCATTTGTAGATCGAAATTCATTGCTTGCGACATTGATGCTATTAACACAATTCGTTCCGAAATAGGTAGCCTATCTAGAAATTTGATAGGCTTACAGTCTGGTATCCTCATTAATACAGTATGCCTGCTTATAAATACTATTCGCATATTAAAAATTAGTATAAAAAATATTTTAGAAACATTGATCTGGCCATAAAATTGACTCCTCCGTAGGATTTAGAATGGTTTATAAACATTTGTCCAATCTATGTTAATTATAAATTTATTTTCAATAGGTACTCCAGAGATGCTCTTTGTATACGTTATGAGCCTATAATTAAGTTAAGCAAGATAATCCTTATCAGGATTACTCTATTTAGAGATTACATACTGTATTGTATTAAGATTACTTTATAATAAGATTGTTGTTCAGTTGCTTTAATGCAATAAATTAAATTAATTTAGCGTTAGCAGATTGTAGAAGGTAAAGTAAGCGAAATAATTCAAGTGAGTCATATATAACCGTGTAGCGCTATCATATCGAAATACTTTATTTTAGGCTCTTGAACCAAAGCATTATTCGATATAAAACTTCTAAATATTAGATACATTACTGATTCCTAGTAAGCTCATATTAATTATGACAATAATTTATTATGACTTTAATGCAACTACATAATATCTATTCAGAATGATAGAGCAATTTTCTATAAAATGTTTCTAAAAGACTTCATTAATATCATGTCTATGCCAGTCAGTGGATTAATTTTAATGCTTAGCCTGGCAAAAACATAAATTTTGTAGAATTTTTCGTATTTCAAATCGATGGACAATATACAATACGACATAAATTAGATCTTATTCAAGAAGGATTTACGAATGTAATCTTTTAGTGACAGAACAACATTAAATTGAAATAGCGATCGCTTGCAAAGTATTGATTTAATGCGGCTAATTATAGATGAGAATACAAATTTATAGGAAAAGATTTAATTGTTTCGTCTTCACAGTCATATTTACTTTTGGCAACCTATTTAAACTGGCCGAAGAAAAATCTAGCTTGATAACTAGGTCTTAAAAGTTCAGTCAAATCAAAGCAGATTAGGAATTGTTGTAGGTGAATTAAACTGAATAGTTTCATCGTCAAAACTTGGTGTGGGAAGTATCGTGGCTTATAACTTCCGAAATTAAATCCTGTTTTTGCAGCTGTATAGATTGGTGGCATTGTTTAGTAGCCAAAATTTAGAAAATTACGTAAAGAAAGCTTCAGCCAATTCAATACTCTTGTATTCGAAAGGATGTCATGGAATGATAACAACTTTTCATACAGACCGATTTTCCTAGAAATAAGTTATTTATATATTTGGTTATTTAACCATATTATGACAGAAATGTTGCACCATAAAACTTACCTAAACCACAGTAATCTTCATGAAATTGATTTCGAAATTAATATACCTATTTTGCAGTTTATAGCAATGTTCCCCACATTAATACATTTCTATCGTATTTTTTAAACTAATTTAAAAATCATCCATTGCGTTAATAAACGTTAGTAATGGAATGAACGAATTGGAAATAGTTTCCTCTATAAGATAAATTGCGAATTTTTATAAATTTACCATGTATTTACGTAAACCTACAGAAAAACCGTAAATTCAATGTACTGGGATACTACGCAGAATAGTAATATATTTGCGAAGAGGCAATAAATAATATTTTCGAAGAAAGCACATTACCATTTTCATTCACATCACCATTCAAAGATAAATATATAAATATATATTCAAATAGCGTTACCCATATGCACCGTACTATATTTTATTTATATTTAATTTTCCTTTCATTCCATGCTTAATTTTCTTATCGTTTGACTGGTTTCCTTTCAATGCAAACAAGTCAATATTGAGATAAGTAGATTTGTTACAAGCTCAAAATAATTATGACATGCTTGTTTCGATTTTAGTGGTGGACAAATGCTTGGAGTAGTATGGCCAACAAGAGTAAAGCCAATTTTTACGTCCAATTCATTTCAATGTCGCTTAGTCTATGGCTTAATGATATTATTTGCTTTAGAAGATGTCTTAACAATGACAACGATGGCAGTAACGCGCTTTATTGCTATCCGATATCCGAATGCTGGTAAAAAATGGTTGGATATGAAATCAATTGTGGTGAGCATAATTATAACATGGGTTTTATCTTGCGCTATGAGTTTCCCACCAATCATTGGATTTTGGAGTAAATTAACATACTATATTCCGCCGGGAACATGCTTACTTAATTTTAAATTTCATCAGCCATCAAAGTTGGTTTATCTATTGCTCCTTAGTTCATTATTTTATGCAATTCCTATCATTATTATTGGATATTGCTATGTTCAGATCATTAATGTAGTCCGCCGTAGTCATCGTCGTGTGCTGGATTTTCGATCGGAACGAGCATTATCCTCTAAAACGGATCGTCCTATTCGTAAAAATCTAAAACAGGAGATTTCACTTAGTATAACATTATTCGGTGTTTTCTTTACCTTTCTCTTAGCCTATACGCCGTACATTTTAGTCCATTTTCTGGAAATGATTAATTCTATGCTCATTACTGCTAAAATTAAATATTGCTTGAAATCGACAACCTTTATTACTTGCATTGTTAATCCTATCTTATTTTTATCTAAAAATATTAAACGTAACTATTATCAAAGATGTTGTTGGAGTATTATGCACTTAAATGATAGAAGCGTGATATCGGATGATAAGCGATCTCCGATACCTGCTAGCCCATCTAAAGTGTTTTAACTAATGTTAATGTTAATATCATTTCCTGTCGTATTTGTATCAGTACTATAATGATTACTTACTGTCGAGCTAAAAATGGACTTGATGCTTCGCTGATCATCTTTTAACGCATTCTGTAACAGCTAGACTTTTATTATACTCCAACTAGTATGGAATATGATAATATATGCATTAAATGACTATTGAGTTTTAAAATCTGTTAAAATTTTAAATCTTCGATATCGTACTGAGGCAATAAAATTGCCATGCCCATTCTTAAATCTAATGTTCGTACAAATATAAATTAATAAGTACCGAAAAGAGCGTGGGATCGTTTGAAATTGCATACCGTTTTGAAAATGAAGTTTTAATAAGTTGCATTCTACGAAAAACGATTGCTTCTACATTAGAATGATATAAAAATAAAACTATTAACTGTGGTGTCGTTTAAATTTATAGAGTTTGAGTTACCATATATCGATTACTGAGAACATTATTAAGATAAAAATCTCAATTCAATCTTGAGTTTCAGTTAGAAATATTTACATCTGACTGGTAAATTAGTTACTAACATAGAATGAATGAAATATTTACTTTTGTGTTAAGAACAGTTAATCTTCTCTTAGTTAAGCCACAAAATGCCATTCAGCCATTGAATTATTCTAAGAATGACTTTAGAAGCATTTGATATGTATGAATTACGGCTCGTAAATTAAATATCTGCACTCAGTTTAGAACAAAGATTGATATGAAGTGGCCAACGTATTTGCGATTTAGCTACCAGCCATTGCCATATAAGATTTAAGTGAAACAAAGAGTAATATAAAATTTTAAAGTCTTTTCATAGACAAGATTTTACCTTACTGTATTATCATAGATCAATCAAGTTAAGAATATGGCGCAGCTTCTTAGCAGGGTTTTATAATTATTCAACTTAAATGCTACTCTACTGGCGATGTAAGATTTCTAGTACTGTATATGATGCGAAAGCTAAACTTTACCTGTCTCATACCTTGATTGAAAATATGAACATTTACAGAGATTACAACCTGATCTAGTTTAATTATATAGGTAAAATGATTCCAAATGCTGTATAATAAGGACTAATGATTATTATCTATATTACATCTTTGCTATAAAGCCATTTTCTTGGTTTCATTATCTAATCCATCCATAAAAGAAAAAATGGATTATAAATTACTTGATTGCATATAATCATCTTCTTAATACAAGTATTGATGTACAAAATCGTACACATTTTATTTGCTGCGTCGGATAAAAATGAAGCTGTAAAAATTTTAAAATTGTCCTCATAATAACTCTCGCCAATATTTAATCTATATTACCAATACTTACCATTAAAAATATAATAGATATCTAGTTTCACTAACTTGAGAAGGAAATGTTAACATTTTATCACTTAATGTGTTTAAAGCTTCTGCTTGAGTTATCCTTCATGAATAATAGAGATGAATTTCAAAACTGAAAGTTAATTACTTGTCAAGAATTAATTTGCAAACTTGCAAGGTAGATTGTGAATATTTACTTGGAATTTTAGGCATTGGATTCAGAAATAATGTTGTACCTTGAACAAATTTATAGTTAAACATAATAATCTATGATAAAGTTTCTAACGGAAATGCAAAAAATTTTTTCTCTTAATTTAAGTATTGTGAGTATCGTTTGTTGGTGTAAAATAGAATACGTAAGTATGTGCGTAGCTGCAACTTTAGATAATTTCATAATTATAAGACCTAAGCGTTACAATTTTAGAATACTCAAGGCTAGATAGAGAAATTTCTTTTTTAATAGTTATTACGTAAAAATTAAGTGAGGAATTTAGTCTAAGTTTTGGTATATGGTGATTACTTTTCTATCGTTACCAGGTACATGGTCTATATTATATCGCCTTACATTGAGTTAATTCGATCGCAGACATCATTATAGCTATGAATAATTCCGTTTTATTATAGTAGCTATAGCTTTGACTAAATTACATTAGTCAATTTGCTTAATCTGAAATACAGAATTATTACATTGCTGTAAATTGCTATGCTTGCTTATAAATTATTTACTAATGCATTGTATACTTAGTAATTTTAATACTATTGTAATAATTCAGCCGTTAATTATATTTTAGAAGGAAGGATTTAATTGTAATATCTTGTGATATTAATTAAGTTGCAGACCATTAGTCTCCAAGAATAAATATCCCAAATCTCCCCAAACGAGGAATGATATAGAGCTCTAGTGTAAATCGTCCTGACTACTTTTGTTTATCTAGATTAATTCCTCATTCACCAGATTTAATTCAGCTAATCAATTCTTAGTTTTTTTCTTGTTGCCATAACATGTGATACATACCTACTTTCATATTCAGGGTGCAGTCTCCTTCCAGCGTATTTGAAAAATTGAACAAATTATTGAACAACTATAATTTTTGAAATCTCCTCCAAAAAGACTTTAGGCCAAGGTTTTCCGTTAGACAGCTCAATTTTTTCTGTCTTCAATAGTGGCTTTTAATTTACGTATTTATGAATAGGAACTAACGTTAAACTATTGAAGTGTAGTAAATTAGATTTACTTGATATATAGCGTTGCCCATTCGCATATCAGGCTTAGACAATTGCTTTATTTAGTTTTAATAAATGAAAATACCTTACCTGAATTTTTATTATAATTAAGAAAGGGTAGTGTACAAAGACACAGGACTTTTGATTTAGTTAAACGGTAAAAAAAGCCATCCAAAGTGAAAAATGTAGCTGCAAAGCACTATTGAGATAGGAATTTTTATAGAAAGTACGGATGGCGACTAAATATCATAAATAAATGATAGCCCTTTTGCATTTTAGGAGTCTGATTGACAAAATATGTGACAGACATACGTTAATTAAGTATGCAGTTATGATCCTATTCCTATTCGAGAGTTTTCATCATAAGCTAGAGATTCAACATTGTTATGTAATATATAAATGATAATTCTACTGATAAATGGACTAAAATTGCCTCACGTATCAATCTCTCGCAGCTTAAGTCCTTGACATACTAAAGTCTATAAACTAAAAGCAACACTTTCAATATCGAATGTCAGACCAAAGAATGGCGAAAGGGGGTGGAAATTTATAGCATACTTTTGTTTAAATCTAAATGTACTATATGATCGCTCCTTTTGATATCATCACCATGATAAGAGAAATCATTTTTGTAGTGGATAGATTAAAACACCTTCATACAACGAAAGTTTACCAAATGGTTAACCATTGAAGCAGTGATAGTACTTGAACCTTGCAATGCCTTTCTTGATAAATCTAGAGCGAAGCGAACCTTCTATATTCCTAGACTTTAATAACCATTGGTGCGCGTTACGGTATTAAAGACCACCGTTAGGAATAAATACCTTATATTGATCGCTATAAAGTTGATAGCTTATGCTTAGGTTATAGATTTTATAACTAATTTATTTTACAGTAGGACAAGTAAATTAGTTAGATATCCAATTTATAAGAGAGCTCAAAGGTTAGCTCGTGTTCTAATAATGGTTGCCTTGTGTTACATGCATGATCCAACGTATTTTAAAATAGAGCATAAAGTGATATAAACTTAGGTCTAAGAATATTCTAAAGCCACATCATTTATTAGCTGATCGCGAATTTAGATTGAAGGTATATAAGCGACTTACTTTTAATGTAAAGAGAATTCGTTATTTTATTATTTACGCTAAAGTAGGTCTATGTCGTTTTAGCAGGGGAAACTTCAGGAAAATATTCACGGTTGTCACGGGGAATTAATCTTGATAAGTAGTTCAAGGTAGAAAAAGACATAGAATTATCTCTGGTGTATCGTCGCCACAGTTAGAATATATATATAATTGTGGGTGGCAGTGCAATACCGTTGATTCTTATTGTAGTACTACGGTAATTTCTTTAGCTATATGATAAAAGACATAGCTATATAAAGCTGAATTTAAATTATTTTCTATTCAATCTTTTCAAATTTTCTCATGCATAAAATTTTTATATCGTCTGCTTCCTGTTGTCTAAATAAGCAATTTTTATCACCATTTAAAAGAAATTGTACGAATTTAATACATTTGAACGAATAAAATAATAGATTATTGAGGAATTCTCATACAATAAAGTGATAATTACGATTGCTTTGTTAATACTCAGGCATATCATTATTGGCTACTCTTACCTTATTTCTTCTAACGATATATTCTTAATTTTAAGATTGCTTTGTTTTAGGTTTTGCTACAGATAGCAATCCTTTGTACGTATTATCATCGGATATAAAGCCTACAACTTTTGAGAGGCATAATTGTAATTTTAAATATTAAGCATATACATTATATGAGAGGATCCAAAATCATACGATGATACAAAAATTTTCGATTAATAAATTATACGGATTATGACAAGAGATAAATTTAGCTAGTTTTCGGCGAAAATTTTCAACTATAAATAGATTTCTATTTATTAATAACAATGCTTAAAATTGCAATGTTTAAGTTGTTCAAGTGTCAACGAATTAGGAATGAGATTCAACCATATCAATAGTAATCGGCTTGATAATTTTCTGGTATATCTTTACCAAAATGTGCATGAAAGTAACGCAAATTCAGATCCGATGAAAAATATTTGTAAATTTCTTCGCCCCTAATGAAGGATCCCATGCTTAAGCAGTGATGTAATAGCAGTATCAGATTAACGTTATTCTAATGAATTGTAAGCCATAAATATAATATAAGTTATCATTAATCCTGATTGATAATCCTACTTCAAAATTAAAATTGAATGAAGAAACCATAAAGTGATAAATTCCAGGTCTACGAATATTTAATTCCATAGCTCTATTGCATTTGATTGCCATTGATTTGGATTTTATATTTCAAAACTGCTTTTCATTTGAACTACTTGGTAGTAATGAAAATAAAGGAATAGGATTCTATCCCTTAGAAATAGTGAATTCATATCTACTGTAGATATTTTGTAATTCTTAAAGACGATTCGATCTCACCTGTATACAGGATAGGGTTTTGTAAAGTAACTAAGTATTGTGATTGTGGACTATTGGCCATGTGTAGTACGATGTAGGGTAGTATCGTTTCTATGTTTATCTTAAGATATATTTAGTGGCCCATAATTATAGACTGTTATGGTAGACTCTATGCTAGAGCACAGGTGACAATATACGGTAGGATGTTGAGCTACTATTAGGGTTAGAGATAAAAATGGAACTGTAAATCATATATTAGGATATGGTTAGTTCATTGTACTTTGAGTGGTATCGAATAATGTCTACGCAATTACTGTAATCGTTTCTATACTTGATTGGATTAATGACTGTAGCTGTGAAGGCTACGGCAAGTATAAAAGGAAGCGACATTAGATTATCTGATTGTTCTTTCTAGAAGTCATTCAGCAGTTGTATTCGGCCAGAATGGAGTTGCGTGTAGCTAATCTTTGTATTAGATCTAATAAATTTTTAATATTTGTAATCAGATTTTATCACAGGTTTCATCTTTAAAAATGTATAAGGCGTGAACAATACTGTTCTAGCTAACTTAGACTTGTTACAATATTTTGAACACAGATTAGGATTTTGCCTGTAAAAAGTGTATAGTAAGCGCACTATATTTCCCAATTTTAACATTTTTACATTATTTTGACAGGTCGAGTTTTTCCTGGGGAAAATGTACATCCATGAAAAATTACTTCCTAATTTGAACCTCATAGGAATTGGGCATTTGAATGCATGATATCATATTAGTTATCAAAACTCAGGCTAAAGCCCAATAAATGCTATTAGAAGTAAAAAAATTATACATACAGTAGATTAGATCTGATTAGGATGCTATATTAGATAGATTATGATCAAATTTTACTAAATCATAACTTCATGAAGGAGTTGCAGGTAACATTGCTGTCTTATTCGCTTACTAAACTATTATAGTCTCAACTTAAAAGTTGTTAATGACAGGTATATTTTCTTATCCAAATATTTTAAATAGTATCTTTTGATTACCAATGGATTGGTTTATGTTACCAATAACTGCAAAGAACTCGTCAGTCTATCAATAATTATAATTAGATAGCAAGATTTTAAGTAAGTATAAGATATAATTAAATCAATTATATTAATTTATGACTTATACAGCTGGAATAGACAAATTCACTGGCTTGAGCAACTTTGAAGACACATACAAGATACTTACGAAGCACATGCAACGAGTTCCTAGTTATGCTATGGTAATATACTCATATCCCAACAACTTCACACAATATTGATAAATTCTGGTATGGAAATATAGAAATTCGATATTATTGAAAATGATGTCAATCAACGCGCTATTCTTACTTTAATCCAATGAATTATAATGTCTTCAATTGAAATATTGGAAGGTAATTCTAAACGAATTTATCTTCATACAAGATTTAAATATTATTGTACAGTTGTTTATATTATAATAAATTAAGAAAGTTCGTTGGTTATTGGATTAAAGTATCTTGGTGATGAATTGATAAAGATGAATTACCGACGTCAGATGAATCACCAATAGCTGTGGTTGTATTTGGCGACCATGCTCCATTTACATTGTTACCGTAGCTTTCTATAAATTTTTCATTTGCTGAAATGAGGTCAGTGCTAGTCGATAATTATGCTCTTTTTTCATTGCCACGAGATATAATTCATACAATACTTTCTTAAATTTTTCACTTACTTTCTTGGTAGGATAAGGGATGCCATAATACGCGTCTATGTCGATATAATTGATCGAAGGTACAGTCAATTCAGCGCTTTCTTTCTGCTCAATTCTCTTACCAGATAATTGAACTATTCCGTTAATGTCAGGTATTTCAGCAGCAGCCGATTTGAGGCCTTTTCGATGGCATATTCTTTCATAGTGTGGATGACAATCTAATCGCCATCTTTTAGATAAGTTACATTTATGAAGTAGAGCATGATCAACGTTCCTAGGCTTAAAAGCAATCGTGATATATCTACAAGGGTTGTGTAAATTAAAAAAAGACACAATCGCAGCTTGGAACGTCAAATTCATTGGATGCCAGCCTAGCTACTCAGATCATAGATGAATGAAATCCTTGACTAGCATAATTGTTAGGTATAACATGAAAGCAATGGTCAGCAATCTGTAAATGCTGGAAAGCACTTTTATGCTGTCGTTCATACAACCAAACCGCTTCAACATATGGACTCCAAAATTGTTTCTCGCTAATAAGCTGGGATATGGTAGAATACATTCTTTCTTCCTGAACGTCAATTTTTCGAATAATATCAGTAATTAAAGGATATAAACTTGCGATTTTTAGCTCACTTTCGGCTTTTAGTTCCTCTCGATCGGGTAATTTATCTCCTCCTTGTATAGCAATAGAGCCACCAGTGAAGTATTGCTTAGTATATGTAGCACAGACTTTCCTCTTATTTTCAACTAGAGCTCGAATAGTACTAACAGCGTAGGGATAACAAACGTAATCTTGTAACAACTTATATAATGATAAATCTAACGTATCAGGTTCCTTGATATCAAAAATGCAGTAATTACAATTAATAATGAAATTAGTTCCTACTTCTTTTGGCATACTTCGAGATGGAATATACATTTTTTGCCTGAAATGGTTTACTCTAATAACGTGAATCTGTTGCAAGGCTTTTGCTACTTTATTATAAATTGGATTATCATCAGTCATTAATGTTATTCCCTTTTCAGCAATTCCGAATAATTGCATAGCTTTAATAATATCTGCTGTCATTTTATTTTGTCCTAAAGATATTCCAACAATGCTGGATTGACTGAAATGATCAATTACGGAATAAGTACTTAAAGCTACGTTCGTACTTTCAGCTTTAAGCGTGCCATCAATAACAATGACATCGCTATAAAGAGGCAAAAATTCTCGCATTTTTGTGGTTTGTATATACATGTCACAAAACAGCTTTGCAACAAGATAACGCAATATACGATCAATAAGTCAATTCCTTGAACCACGTATCAAGGAACGATATCTGCACTATCACAAACACTTTTGCTCTACTAGCAGACTACACAAAGACTTAAACGCCTCGTATTTTACGTTAAACACTAAGTTGGACAATTCTTCTTTATTTCACGATATACTGCATTTATATACTATTCCTCAATAGTTCATGAGTCATAGTTAATACAATTAACATTAGAATCATTTACTGAATTAGATATTAATTTTAGCTACTGCTCCCTTAATGCAGACAACAGTATTTACGAACATAGACATGTAATGACTAATACAGAATAGTCAGATTACGATATGTCCTATCACGGAACATTTCCATGATAATTTACAGTCTTCCATAAGTAAATTACAATCACAATGATTCGAACTGTAAGCAGATGATTTGCATTCCCTATTATAACTATTATAATTTCAGTATGTGTATAAGTGTCACTGTCATAAAAAGTCAGTGCTATATTAAAATACAGTATATCCAAATTAGAAGTTAACTAAATAAGGATAGTCTAACAGAATTATCCTAACATAGTTATTTCTACTGTAATACAGTATTTAACACTGTAACACTTCCTTTCTTCAATGTGCTAGTATCTTTTTCCTCTTTAATTTCAATGACATCACTTTACTCCTTGATTTCAATGATATCATTTTCCCCTCTAATTTTCACAATTTGTTTTTCCTTTGTTATTGTGACGATATTACTTTCTTTATTGATTTCAATGATATCGCTTAATTTGTTAATTTACATGGTTTCGTTTCGTTACTAATTTCAACGACATCACTTTCCTCCTTGATTTAATGATATCGCTTTCTTTCTTGATTTTAACAAATTCGTATTCGTAATTGGAGATACCGTTAGTTGGAAGATTTTGTGTTTATAGCTTTGAATTACTTTCACTCTGCTGAATTTCGAAAACTGGAATCAATTCCTCATCGGTATTATACTCATTAATTTTAAAATTTTGCGACATTTTCTCTTTTCTTTCTTAAATTTCTTCTTACTACATCTGAGCAAATCTTGACCCATCAGCAAACTATATATTAGTGATAATTAAGTATGGCAACTGCTTGAACGAAAAAAGAACAGTAATTAAGTTTCGTTTAGTGTGCCCCGGAATATCATAAACATTGCGATTCATTTCCTGTATTAACTTGCTCATAAATTCATATTGAAATTTGAATATAGCTATTTGTTCCTTGACAATTTCTTATATGGCTTAAAATTTAATAGAACTGTCAACAAGGTTTCTCACTTCCTTTAAAATATCGCACTATTTTGCTAGCGAATCCTAATTTGATTCTATTTTTGATGTAGCAGATAAAATTTGTCTTTAAAATATTTTACCGACTAGTATGTCACGTTCTGATGTTATTTGAATACGAAGTAAGTAACTGCACGTTACAACTTAAGCAGTTGCAGCAATTGCATGTGCATTACATATATTTTTTAAGCAGTGGATCACATGGTGCTACTTGGTGCATTCTGTCAGTACATTGCTAAATTGTGTGCTGAATTTAAAAATGCGCTCTGGCATATGTTTGCACTTCCGGTTCAATCATTCTAAATGCATGATCAAATCTTATGAAAAGTTATCTCCATAGCGGAGTGCTGACTTGATGAAAGGCACGCATTTCCATTTTAAGTATCTTCGATGATACGATAAATTAGCTTGTCGAATAAAGCTTACAGTAAAAGCATAGCTCAGAGACTGATAAACTCCTCTTTAATCCGGAAATTTATATACCATCTATTAAACATTTATATGTGTAACTGGAGCCTTATATACTATTACTAGATGCTAAGCCAGTTTGATGTAGATCTTTAGCGAAATACTGACACTATTATGATGCAGACCAAACTTAAACCTAATTAAAACAAAGACTATGTCAATCTTAAAATTGATCCATCTATGAATAAATCTTAAGAATATCTTGTCGCTTACTATAATATCTGGCATTAATTTCATGTTAAATTTACTTGGTAGCATTACGCTGTCATTTGTGAAAGATGTTATCGAAAATTTTCTTTCCCTGTATTTAAGCTATTTTAAGCAATCGTCGCCAATACAAATTACTATTCATCATTGTTATTTTGTCATGGATATAGGGTAAAAAAGAACTTTAGGATTCGCTGTTGGTCAAGAGTTGGCAGATGCTGCCGGTTTTAATGCGATTAGTAGTATTAACGGTATTGTAAATTCTGTTCACGCTCGGTTAATTCAGCAGATTACGATATAGTTCGATGCATTTAGATAATTAGGTATTTTGAATAGGTGTTTATAAATGTTTTAGTAAATTCTATATACGAGACTATGCTAAAACATAATGAATAGCTCCATTTTAAGACAACAATCGGAGTTCAATACTTCATCCACCCACATGGGATGAACAGTTGTCATTAAAGGACTATTATGTACGAAATATAAAATATTAAAAACTAATTTTCCTTAACGATTTTCAAGTCTATTTACATTAAAAGAGTCTATAGGATATAGAATTATAGATAATTTCGTTAATTGGCAGAATATCAATTTTTTGTGATTAACATTTCCGAACATTGTAATACGCCTAATGTTCTTTGTTATTCGAATACGCGATCAATACTATGATATCAACTAAGATTAGATTTTAACTTCGATAAGTTTTTAAAAATCATAAATATTTTAAAGCATAATATTATAGAAAGAAATACTAATAAGGTTGATTGATGAAATCGAATGAGTATATAAAGTATGGTGCTTCTGGGTGCGGCTGCTCAATTTTTGCTAAGTTCTATTGTACAATAGAAAAATTGGCCTTTTTATCATAAATTACGCTTGAATTACGAATAATATAGTAACCTTACAAAAAAATCAGCTTGGTTTACCGCTTTTATGCTTTTGTTAAGTTACATGACAAAGTAAAAGTCAGGACAGAACAATCAATCGGTTTGATTGTTAATATCATATATTACTGATGAGAGTTAACTTATTTGACAGTCGCACAATAAACTTGCAATCCAGCATAATCGAAGTTAGTAACTTCAGGTATAATAAAGTACCTTACCAGAACATAATGTAGTGACTAACCTCGTGTTAATGCTTGAATTCTTATAATCAAGTACAAATTTTAAAGACCTTCATACAGTATTAGTCGTGATTATCTTGTAGTTCTATTGTTTATTTCCGCAATCATACAGATAATTTAATACTCTACAATAGTCTGAATAATTTATTCCCTTTAAGTAATGAACTTGCAATAGCTTTTAATAAAACAGAGAATTTTTTATCCCTATTGTGTTTCTCATACTATACCTTGAAGGGAACTTAAAAATATTTTAAAGTCATCAAATAATTTGTCTGTTATAGTTTAATTAGAAATTCGTCTAAACAATTGCTGCATCTAATTACATATTCTTTAATTATGCATCAGATGTGATAATAAACAACCAACTCGTCCTCCACTCAATTAAGCGACGTCATGTCATTAATGGCTTACATAAGGATATAGAGAAAAATTTCTTTTATACAGTAATATGGGAATATTAGAGGAAATACATTATTACTAAAGAGTACAGTATATAAGAAATTACCCATTAAGACGGACAATATCTGAGAATGAATCGATACCATGCACATTTAATCAATAAAATTTAGATGAAATAAAGGATTTAGTGAATTAATCTGTCTGTTATAGGCAAATAATATATTATTCATAATTTTCACTTATCAAAGCAGCAGATGGTTCTAAATAATATTTAAAATATAATAGTATTACTTAATTGGTGATCTATTTGTCTGAGATTATCACTTTCGATAAATTTTTATGTGGAAATGCGATATTAATATTGGCTGTGATGAGGAAATTTTTTCGAAGATGCTCTTGTTCGCTATTTAAAGTCAATGTTAATCAGATACAGCGCATTGAATAAATTAATTTTTATAATCCTAGATTAACATAGTTGTGATTCATCAATCAATATTAAGGTAAAGATGAACTGGATGGCAAATGTAACAATTTACGAAAATGTTACCAGTCCTACAGTCATGACAGGACTGGATGCTCTAGTCGCCATGGTAGTCTTGTTTTTTTTCATTCTCATTGGTGTACCGGGTAACCTCTGCCTGCTGATCTACCTACTTAGCCGATACCGGAAAACTAATATTAACGAACTTCAATTTATGTATATCGCAATAACTGATATTCTCTTCATTTTGACAAGGTCGGTAATCAACAACAGTGAGAATTTGATAGAGGTTATTAATTTGATTACAGTTATTTGTATCCTAGAATCTCAAATATCATCATTGTTCGTTCTTTCACTTGCACACCATTTTAGTTGTTCATAAGTATAGATGATGACTTGAAGGTGATAAATGAGAATTTCTTTAAATGATTAGGGCGCAAAAATTATTACTATCATGGTTATCTATTCGCAGTTTGCATTTATATTCCAGAGCCATCAGAAGATATATTTACGTAGACTTCGATTCAATAACACAATAAGTTTGATTGCAATGCTAAGCTACAAATAATTGTCAATGAATCTGTTTCATAAAATCTGCTTTTCTTGGACACCGCAAGCAAGCTTTGTTCGGTAGATAGATCAAACGCATTACAAATACAATACCATACAGCTACTGGAGAATCAATTAATAACCAAGTAATATTTGATCCAATCAATTAGCGATCGGTTATCAGTTTGACATTGAGTATATTTTGGTAAATGTGCACAAACATTCAATAAAACTGCTAAGATTACATTATTCAGGAGTTTAAAGTTAAATTTTCGATTTCGATTTACTGATGATTAGATTTTGGAAGATATACCGGTAATTTCATTTCTCTCAATACATTGAATCATGTATGTTATTTGAATCAGTGAATAAAATCCCATACCAGGTCTTTAATTTATTTAGGAAATCAAAAGTTCTTTAAGCAGTAAAAGTTTTGAT